CAAATTTGGCACACAGATCCATCATGACAAAGTTCAACTGCTGGTGGGGTTTGCGAGAAAACTGACAGAGGATGATGGGAGTTGTAGTTCACCCACATCCAGAGAGCACTGTGGACCCAACTGGTGATTGATCTGGACCAAACTTGCCACGCATAACCAACATGACCCAACTTTGACTACTGGTGCAGATTAAATGCCATGACAGATGATGATGGGAGTTGTAGTTTATGCATTTTCTAATGGACCATTCATAAAATCCAAAAATGATGGCTATTGTAATAAACAGCATGACAAATGACCTAACCTGCACATTGCTGGGAACCTAAACTAGAATCTATATATAAAAAATTGAAAGTATGTATAGTGGAAACTCGACTTAAGTGTCCCAACTTATTAGTGCTTTGATTTAAGAGCTGTCACTCAGCCTGGGTTTCACTTTAACATAAGACTGGCATTCTAGCACCAAAGGGAGCAGCCTCCGGGCCTCGTGCTTCATGCTCTTCTCCACTTTGGGAGATTGCTGTCTGCTTCTCTTGTCCACGTTCAGAAACTACGAGTTAGTTGATTTCGTGTGGTTTATATTCCTGGTCTGTTTGGCTTCATGAGGAGAGACAGCAAGAGAGGGGAGAGGCTGTAAGGAGTACAGTGTGAAGAAGTAAAGGATGCTTCTATTGCAACTCAGGGTAGCTTTCCCCTTGCTCCAGACACCACCACACCAAAGCTGTAGGTTTTGTAGTTTATTGAGAAAAAGGCAAAATCAAAACAAAGTAGAAGAAATGCAAAAGTTCCTTAGGCAGGACAAAGGCTTAAATGCCAAGACAAAGTTCCCAAGATCCAAAGGCAAAAACATGAAGCATAATCCTTTAGCAATGGTCAAACAAGAGTACATGGAAAACAGTTGAAAACAAGGCCCAAATCCCAGACTCAGGAAGCCAGAAGCGTGCTGCTAAAAGCCAAGGTTAATCTACAGAAGCTTGCATGGGAAGAGCTACGTTGGACTGACAACTCCTGCTTGTCAGCTACAAGGCTAAATACCCTTTGCAGACATGAACGCATTGCGTTGACCTTTGGCACCCTTGGCTTCTCGCTTGCTAGTCAAGCGAGTGCTTCTCCGGAGCCTTAATTGCAGACGATCTTGCCTGCTCATTAATTCATTATCTTCAAGGCTATGTAACCCCTTATCTTGGTCCAGCTGGACCGGATCACTGTGGGGAGGAAAAGACGTCTCCACCTAGCCGTGTGGGAATTCACTCTCGTTATCAGTCTCACTAACATTCCTTTCCCCTGGGAACTGCCTTGCTCTTTCTCCTTCAGCAGCCCCACCGTCAGCCCTGTCTGAAGCATGTACGGGAATCTGTAACCCATCATCCTCATCATCCTGGCTCAGAAGTCCCAAAGAGCTCAGCTTCAGACTCAGAGTCAAGCTGAGTCACAACAGCTTCTACCTCTTCGCTTTGCTTCCTTGCCACAACTTTGTGCTTCTACCATTTTAAAGGTCACATTTCTTGTTCCATGTCAATGTGCATTTATACATTATTTGTTATTTATATTTTCCTATTTAAAAACACCCAACAAAAAACTCCGAAGCACTTCACTTTGAGATAAGAGCGTTTTGAGTTAAGAGCTCAGTCACAAAACAAATCAAACTCTTAAGTCAATGTATCACTGTGTGTGTGTGTATGTTTGTGTATGCAACATTTGATGCCTTAACCAATAAAACAATCACAAAATACTGTTAAAACATTTGTGTAAAATATAAAAACCATACAAAGCCATAAAAACATTATTGTGAGCGTCTCCTTGTTCAAACCGTTATTCAATTGCATCATCAGGTCGTTCCATGATTTTGTGTAATTATGCTGGATTAGCAAAAGCTTGCTCAAAAAGCTAGGTTTTAACCTTTCTTCAAAAAGTCAGGAGGGGAGAAGCCACTCATATCCCTGGGAAAGGTGTTCCACACTCGAGGAGCCACCACCGAGAAGGCCCTGTCTCTCGTTCCCGCCAAACGCATCTGTGAGGAAGGCGAGACCGAGAGCAGGGCCTCCCTAGAAGATCTTAGTGTCCTAGATGGTTCATAAGGAGAGATACGTTCGGATAGGTACGCTGGTAACCCTATTAGGAATTTCAACAACAAATTACAGCACTTTTCTACCTAATCACCTATGCTTTTTTCCCTGTAATACTGCCTATTACAGGGGAAACCAGCTGATCCCTAATCCATCTAAAACACAGACATGTGCCTTTCACCTTAAGAACAGACAAGCATCCCGAGCTCTGAGGATTATTACCTGGGAAGGAATCCCACTGGAACATTGCAGCGCACCCAAATCCCTGGGAGTCACTCTGGACCGTGCTCTGACCTACAAGAAGCACTGCCTGAACATCAAGCAAAAAGTGGGCGCTAGAAACAACATCATACGAAAGCTGACTGGCACAACCTGGGGATCACAACCAGACACAGTGAAGACATCTGCTCTCTCGCTATGCTACTCTGCTGCTGAGTACGCATGCCCAGTGTGGAACACATCTCACCACGCTCAAACAGTGGATGTGGCTCTTAATGAGACATCCCGCATTATCACGGGGTGTCTGCGCCCCACACCACTGGAGAAATTACACTGCTTAGCTGGTATTGCACCACCTGACATCCACCGGGAAGTAGCAGCCAATAGTGAAAGGACCAAGGCAGTGACATCTCCAGCTCATCCCCTGTTTGGGTATCAGCCAGCACGCCAACGACTTAAATCTAGAAATAGTTTTCTATGATCTACAGAGACACTCGCTGGAACACCTCAGCAAGCGAGAGTCCAAAAGTGGCAGGCTCAAACCCAGAACCTCAACCAATGGCTGATACCAGATGAGAGACTCCCCCCTGGGTACACAGAAGACTGGGTGACTTGGAAGGCGCTGAACAGATTGCACTCTGGCACCACGAGATGCAGAGCCAACCTTAAGAAATGGGGCCACAAAGTGGAGCCCACGACATGCGAGTGTGGAGAAGAGCAAACCACTGACCACCTGCTGCAATGCACCCTGAGCCCTGCCACGTGCACAATGGAGGACCTCCTTGCGGCAACACCAGAAGCACTCCAAGAGGTCAGATACTAGTCAAACAACATTTAATCAACTACCAAGCTTGCAAACTTTGTGTTTTGTCTGTTTGTTTGTTTGTTAAAAAATGCAATACAACTGTTTGCTTTGCTCCTGACATGATAAAAATCCTATGGACATGCCACATTATCACGGGCTACATACACAATGGAGGACCTTCTTGCGGCAACACCGGAGGCACTCCAAGTGGCCAGATTCTGGTCAAAGGACATCTAATCAACTACCAAGCCTGCAAACTTTGTGTTTTGTCTGTTTGTTTGTTACAAAATGCAATACAACTGTTTGGTTTGCTCTTGACTCGATAAATAAATAAATAGTGATAATTTTATGCTTATATTGTTTTGTGAACTTTATGTTAAGCTGTTTACTTTGTATGTTTTGGTTATGTTACTTGGAAACCACCCTGAGACCCCCTCGGGGAGATAGAGCGATATATAAATAAAGTATTATTATTATTATTATTACTACTACTACTACTACTACTACTACTACTACTACTACTACTACTAGCCATTCCCTGCCACGCATTGCTGTGGCCCATTCTGGTGATCTGGAAAATAAAGTAATGAGAAAGTGTTGATTACTAATATATGTAATTTCTTTATGTTTGTGGGTAAACAGTATTTCTTCTTGTTTCTTTGTCAATGTTGATGTGGAGAGTGTCTGGTTTGCCTACTCTGGGATATGTAACATATAATTGTCCTTCTTTAGGGGTCCCTTTCAAATCTATGATACTATATCTCTCTGTGTGTGAATCATATCTATCTATATCTATGGCTGGATGGCTCTTTGTCAGGAGGGCTTTGATTACGTTTTCTTGCCCTGGTGAAGGGAGTTGGACTGGATGGCCTTAAGTATTTTCTGTTGGTCATGGGGGTTCTTTGTGGGAAGTTTGGCCCGATTCTGTCATTTTAGTGTTCTGCATGCTCTTTGATTGTAGGTGAACTATAAATCCCAGTAACTACAGTTTCCAAATGTCAATGTCCATTTCCCCCAAACTAGTTCTTCCTCATAGAATCATAGAATCAAAGAGTTGGAAGAGACCTCATGGGCCATCCAGTCCAACCCCATTCTGCCAAGAAGCAGGAATATTGCATTCAAATCAGCCCTGACAGATGGCCATCCAGCCTCTGTTTAAAAGCTTCCAAAGAAGGAGCCTCCACCACACTCCGGGGCAGAGAGTTCCACTGCTGAACGGCTCTCACAGTCAGGAAGTTCTTCCTAATGTTCAGATGGAATCTCCTCTCTTGTAGTTTGAAGCCATTGTTCCGCATCTAGTCTCCAAGGAAGCAGAAAACAAGCTTGCTCCCTCCTCCCTGTGGCTTCCTCTCACATATTTATACATGGCTATCATATCTCCTCTCAGCCTTCTCTTCTTCAGGCTAAACATGCCCAGTTCCCTAAGCCGCTCCTCATAGGGCTTGTTCTCCAGACACTTGATCATTTTAGTCGCCCTCCTCTGGACACATTCCAGCTTGTCAATATCTCTCTTGAATTGTGGTGCCCAGAATTTGGACACAATCCAACATTGTTTGAGTCCAAAGTGCTCTCTGGATGTAGAAGAACTACAACTCCCAGACTCAAGGTCAATGCCCAACAAACCCTTCTAGTGTTTTCTGTTCATCATGGGAGTCCCGTGTGCCACGTTTGGTTCAATTCCATCATTGGTGGGTTCAGAATGCTCTTTGATTGTAGGTGAACTATAAATCCCAGCAACTACAACTCCCAAATGACAAAATCAATTTTTTGAGTGAAGGACATACATTGGGTTGTTAAGTGTCTTGTGTCCAAATTTGGTGTCAATTCGTCCAATTGTTTTTGAGTTCTATTAATCCCACAAACGAACATTACATTTTTATTTATATAGATTATTATTATTATTATTGTGCATCTTAAGAGTTTCTGTGGCATCAGATACCCCCATTCTCCTCAGTGTGTCTTTTCTGGTGTGAATATAAACTACCACTCCACATGAAGCTCTTCCCACACTTTAAGCACATATAGGGTTTCTCCCGCGTGTGGATTCTGTGATGTCTATGCAGGTGTGAGCTCTGAGTGAAGCTCTTCCCACACTCCAAGCATTTATAAGGCTTCTCCCCAGTGTGCGTTCTCTGGTGTGTATGAAGAGTTCCACTCTCACTGAAGCTCTTCCCACACTCCTGGCATGAGTAGGGTTTCTCCCCAGTGTGGGTTCTCTGATGTTTATGTAGAGTGCCAATGAGAGTGAAGCTCTTTCCGCACTCTAGGCACGCATAGGTTTTCTCCCCAATGTGAGTTCTCTGATGTGAATGTAAACCTCCAATGTGAGTGAAACCCTTTCCACACTCCGGGCACGTATAGGGTTTCTCTCCACTATGGATTCTTTGATGTGAGTGTAGACTCCCACTCTCGCTGAAGCTCTTTCCACACTCCAGGCACGTATAGGGTTTCTCCCCAGTGTGGGTTTTTTGATGTGAACGTAGACTCCCAATGTGAGTGAAGCTCTTTCCACATTCCAGGCACGTATAGGGTTTCTCCCCAGTGTGAGTCCTTACATGGGAACGTAGATTTCTTTTCTCGCTGAAGCTCCTTCCGCACTCCAGGCACGGATACGGTTTCTCCCCAGTGTGGGTTCTATGATGTGAATGCAGAGTTTCACTCCGGGCGAAGCTCTTTCCACACTCGACGCATTTATAGGGTTTCTCCCCAGTGTGAAGTCGATGGTGAGAATGTAGTTGTGAACTGTGAGTGAAGCTCTTCCCACACTCCAGGCACGTATAGGGTTTCTCCCCAGTGTGCGTTCTCTGGTGTGAATGTAGACTTCGACTTAGAGTGAAACTCTTTCCACACATCGTGCATTTATGGGGTTTCTCCCCATCGTGAGTCCTTTGATGTATATGTAGCGTTCCATTCCGAGCGAAGCTCATTCCACACTCCATGCATACAAAGGGTTTCTCTCCTGTGTGAGTCCTTCTATGTAAATGTAGACTTCCACTCCGGGCGAAGCTCTTTCCGCACTCCATGCATTTATGGGGTTTCTCCCCAGTATGACTTCTTTGATGGGAATGCAAGCTTCCACTGTGAGCAAAGCGCTTTCCACACTCCGGGCACGTATAGGGTTTCTCCCCAGTGTGAATTCTTTCATGTGAATGTAGAATTCCAATCTGAGCAAAGCTCTTTCCGCACTCCAGGCACGTATAGGGTTTCTCCCCAGTGTGAGTTCTCTGGTGTTTATGGAGATGATCGCTCCGAACGAAGCTCTTTTCACACAACAGGCACGTATACGGTTTCTCCCCCGTGTGAATTCTCTGGTGCTTATGTAGGGTTTTAGCATGAGCGAAGCTCTTTCCACACTCCAGGCATGGGTAGGGTTTCTCCTCTGTGGAAGTTATTTTGTGTGACTGCAGATATTCATGTCGACTAAAGCTCTTCCCATATTCAGAGCATTTATATGCTTTCCCACCCATGTCGACAATGATATGTGTGTTTAATTGCAATATGGACCCTTGACTCTTTTTTCCCCTTTATGATTTGTAATTGAAGTTAAGAATTCCACAAGATCAGGACCTTGAGAGGATTTCTTCTTCCTATAGGATTGGTTTCCTTTCTGCACATTTGGCTTCCATACTCCTCAATGTCCACTCCATGCTGCTTTGTCTCTCATCACACCACAGGTGTCTCCCAAGAATCCTCACTTCCCTGGTCAATAAAGAAAAAGCAAAAGATCAGGCAGGAAGCCCTACAACTTTCTTTACGTACCAGATTCCCCCCCCTTCCCCCCCCCCCATGAGTCATGTTGAAAATGGAAATAACAAGAAATGCAGACATGAAGTTCTCAGGGGCATATGCAGAAGATAACAAAGGTCATCACAGATTCACATTATTTATTTGTTTGTTTATTTGTTTGTTTACATTATTTATATCCCGCCCATATCAGGCGACTCAGGGCGGTCTACATATCGGCACAATTTGATGCCATCAATACATACATTCAAAAAGCAAAAACAATTAAGTGCATTTAAACAAAAAAGACAGTGCAAATAACAGTTTAAAAAGAGCTATATCCTCTCGTTCCAATCCTCATCCGTTTCATCGTCTTGGCCGTTCCTGGGTCATTCTCCATCTCAAGCTTCGGGTTCCGAAGGCTTGCTTGAAGAGCCAGGTTTTTACTCTCTTCTGAAAAGTCAGGAGGGAGGGGGCTGATCTAATATCCCTAGGCAGGGAGTTCCACAGCCGAGGGGCCACCACAGAGAAGGCCCTATCTCTCGTCCCCGCCAAACGTGCTTGTGAAGCAGACGGGATCGAGAGCAGGGCCTCCTCAGATGATCTTAACTTCCTGAAGGGTTCGTAGGAAGAGATGCGTTTGGATAGGTAGGCTGGGCCGGAACCATAAAAGGAATATTAATAATAATAATAATAATAATAATTTATTTATTTATTTATTTATACCCCGCTACCATCACGGCAACAAAGTACGTCCCAAGAAAAAGAAAACCAAGAAGGCAAAATGGTTGTCTGCTGAGACACTGGAAGTAGCCCAAGAAAGGAGGAAAAGCAAAAGGAAACAGGGATAAGGGGAGATATGCCCAGTTAAATGCGCAATTCCAGAGGTTAGCCAGAAGAGATAAGGAACTATTTTTAAATAAGCAATGCATGGAAGTGGAAGAAGACAACAGAATAGGAAGGACAAGAGACCTCTTCCAGAAAATTAGAAACATTGGAGGTAAATTTCAGGCAAAAATTGGTATGATAAGAAACAAAGATGGCAGGGACCTAACAGAAGCTGAAGAGATCAAGAGAAGGTGGCGAGACTATACAGAAGATCTGTACAGGAAGGATAATAATATCGAGGATAGTTATGATGGTGTGGTGAATGAATTAGAACCAGACATCCTGAGGAGTGAGGTTGAATGGGCCTTAAGAAGCATTGCTAACAACAAGGCAGCAGGAGACGACGGGATCCCAGCTGAACTGTTTAAAATCTTAAAAGAGGATGCTGTCAAGGTGATGCATGCCATATGCCAGCAAATATGGAAAACACAAGAATGGCCATCAGACTGGAAAAAATCAACTTATATCCCCATACCAAAAAAGGGAAATGCGAAAGACTGCTCCAACTTCCGTACAGTGGCCCTTATTTCTCATGCCAGTAAGGTAATGCTCAAGATCCTGCAAGGAAGACTCCAGCAATACATGGAGCGAGAGTTGCCAGATGTTCAAGCTGGGTTTAGAAAAGGCAGAGGAACCAGAGACCAGATTGCCAATATCCGCTGGATAATGGAGAAAGGCAGGGAGTTTCAGAAAAACATCTACTTCTGCTTCATTGACTATTCTAAAGCCTTTGACTGTGTGGATCATAATAAATTGTGGCAAGTTCTTGGTGGGATGGGCATCCCAAGCCCCCTTCCCTCTCTCCTGAGGAATCTGTACAAGGACCAAGGAGCAACAGTCAGAACTGACCACGGAACAGGAGACGGGTTCAAGATTGGGAAAGGCGTACGGCAAGGCTGCATCCTCTCACCCAACCTTTTTAACTTGTATGCAGAACACATCATGCGATGTGCGGGGCTTGATGAATGCAAAGCTGGGGTGAAAATTGCTGGAAAAAAACATTAACAACCTCAGATATGCAGATGACACCACTCTGATGGCCGAAAGCGAGGAGGAGCTGAGGAGCCTTCTAATCAAGGTGAAAGAAGAAAGCGCAAAAGCTGGGTTGCAGCTAAACATCAAAAAAACCAAGATTATGGCAACAAGAATGATTGACAACTGGAAAATAGAGGGAGAAAATGTGGAGGCCGTGACAGACTTTGTATTTCTAGGTGCAAAGATGACTGCAGATGCAGATTGTGGCCAGGAAATCAGAAGACACTTCCTTCTTGGGAGGAGAGCAATGTCCAATCTCGATAAAATAGTCAAGAGTAGAGACATCAGACTGGCAACAAAGATCCGCCTAGTCAAAGCCATGGTATTCCCTGTAGTCACCTACGGATGTGAGAGCTGGACCTTCGGGAAGGATGAGCGAAGGAAGATCGATGCTTTTGAGCTGTGGTGTTGGAGGAAAGTTCTGAGAGTGCCTTGGACTGCGAGAAGATCCAACCAGTCCATCCTCCAGGAAATAAAGCCCGACTGCTCATTGGAGGGAAGGATACTAGAGACAAAGTTGAAGTACTTTGGCCACATCATGAGGAGACAGCAAAGCCTAGAGAAGACTGATGCTGGGGAAAGTGGAAGGCAAAAGGAAGAGGGGCCGACCAAGGGCAAGATGGATGGATGGCATCCTTGAAGTGACTGGACTGACCTTGAGGGAGCTGGGGGTGGTGACGGCCGACAGGGAGCTCTGGCGTGGGCTGGTCCATGAGGTCACGAAGAGTCGTAGACAACTGAACGAATGAACAACAACCATCTCCCAAGGGACTTACATGAGGCGGAGCCCACAATACATCAATACATGCAATAACAACCACAATACAAAGCAAAATACTAATACTAATACAAAGCAATTAAAAATAAAACTCATATATAAATAGCATAAATATTGAACAATAGCACAAAACACATTTAAAATCTATGGCTGGGCCAAATGTAATTAAAGTTAAAAAATAATGCTGGGCATGAACAAGATAGAGGAGGTGGGGCATTGGTGGAAACATACAAGCAATCCTAAATCAGTATAAAGTATTATATAGATATTGTCAGTGGTTTTTTTTTTTTTCTGGCAGACTCTCTGTTTCAATGAGTATTTCATTGTTAACACAACAGCATAAAACCACCACATTCTAATTTCAGATCCAAAAATTCCTCCGGAATTATTTATTTAGAACATTTATACCCCATCCTTCTCAACCTCCAAAGAGGGACTCAGGACGACTTCCAACAAGCAACCATTCAGTGTCGTCACAAAATAATAACATAATATAAAATACAATTCACATACATTAAAATAAATATACATTAAAACATTTTGCCAGTTCAAATCGTCATTCAAATCAGTCCATTGTGGTCCACTAAAAACTTATCTTCACTAGTAAATCAGTCTATTCTGCAATCGCTTGATCCCACAGCCAGGATGTGAGTTTCTTCCGGAATATCAGGAGGGATGGGGCAGATCTAATCTCATTAGGAATGGAAATAAACAGCCGAGGGGCACCACAGAAAAGTCCCTGTCTCTTGTCCCCATGAAATGCGACTGCGATGGCGGTGGGACCGAGAGCAGGGCCTCACTGGATGATCTTAAGATCCTTGGTGGTTCGTAGAGGGAGATTTCTCTAGTTGTATGGCCATGGTCTAGAGGCATTCTCTCCTGACGTTTCGCCTGCATCTGTGGCAAGCATCCTCAGAGGTAGTGAGGTCTGTTGGAACTAGGAAAATGGGTTTATAGTATATCTGTGGAATGAGCAGGGTGGGACAAAGGACTCTTGTCTGCTGGAGCTAGGTGTGAATGTTTCAACTGACCACCTTGATTAGCATACAATGGGCTGACAGTGCCTGGAGCAAACTTTTGTTGAGAGGTGATTAGATGTCCCTGATTTTGTTCATTTTCATGGTTTCCTTTTTTTCTGTTGAAATTGTCCACATGCTTGTGGATTTCAATGGCTTCTCTGTGTAGTCTGACATGGTGGTTGTTGGTGTGGTCCAGCATTTCTGTGTTCTCAAATAATATGCTGTGTCCAGGCTGGTTCATCAGGTGCTCTGCTATGGGTGACTTCTCTGGTTGAAGTAGTCTGCAGTGCCTTTCATGTTCCTTGATGCGTGTCTGGGCGCTGCGTTTGGTGGTCCCTATGTAGAGTCAGCCATAGCAGAGCACCTGATGAACCAACCTGGACACAGCATATTATTTGAGAACACAGAAATGCTGGACCACTCTCACAACCACCATGTCAGACTACACAGAGAAGCCACTGAAATCCACAAGCATGTGGACAATTTCAACAGAAAGGAGGAAACCATGAAAATGAACAAAATCTGGCTACCAGTATTAAAAAACTCTAAAATTACAACAGCACAACAACAGAGAGGAAACAATCTGGGACATCTAATCACCTCTCAACAAAAGTTTGCCCCAGGCAGTGCCAGGCAATCAAATGCTAATCAAGGTGGTCAGTTGAAACATTCACACCTAGCTCCAGCAGACAAGAGTCCTTTGTCCCACCCTGGTCATTCCACAGATATATAAACCCTTTTTCCTAGTTCCAACAGACCTCACTACCTCTGAGGATGCTTGCCATAGATGCAGGCGAAACGTCAGGAGAAAATGCCTCTAGACCATGGCCATATAGCCCGAAAAAACCTATAGCAACCCGGAGATATGATAGATCTAGGGAAGTCATGCTCCCCATGCTCTATTCCGCTTTGGTTGTGTCCTGGAATATTGTGTCCAATTCTGGGCACCACAATTCAAGAGAGATATTGACAGGCTGGAATGTGTCCAGAGGAGGGCGACTAAAATGATCAAGGGTCTGGAGAACAAGCCCTATGAGGAGCGGCTTAAGGAGCTGGGCATGTTTAGCCTGAAGAAGAGAAGGCTGAGAGGAGACATGATAGCCATGTATAAATATGTGAGAGGAAGCCACAGGGAGGAGGGAGAAAGCTTGTTTTCTGCTTTCCCGGAGACTAGGATGCAATGGAACAATGGCTTCAAACTACAAGAGAGGAGATTCCATCTGAACATGAGGAAGAACTTCCTGACTGTGAGAGCCGTTCAGCAGTGGAACTCTCTGCCCTGGAGTGTGGTGGAGGCTCCTTCTTTGGAAGCTTTTAAACAGAGGCTGGATGGCCATCTGTCAGGGGTGATTTGAATGCAATATTCCTGCTTCTTGGCAGAATGGGGTTGGACTGGATGGCTCTTGAGGTCTCTCCCAACTCTAGGATGCTATGATTTTTCAAATATTGTTCCATAGTATTGTCAATCCCGAATGCAACCCAGCAGGCCTTTCCTTCCTTCCTAATCCAACCCTGGAAGTCCCTCTTGAAGTCCCTTCTCTCCCTTCTTCCTTACCTGGGGTCCCTTTCCATTCAGAGCTTTGGAGGAAGGAAGGAAGGAGAGAAGACAAGCCTCTCCCCGAAGTCCTCTTCCTCCTGAGGCAAAGAAGGCCTATGAGGAAAGGGGGAAAGAATAACAGGACGGACACTCTTTGACGTCATTTCCGGTGTACGTAGCCGGCGTCCGTCCGCCCGCTCAAGCGTCCGCCTGAAACCACTTCCGGAAGAGGAAGAAAGTAAACAAAAGAGAGAAGGGAGGAAAGAGGGTTGGGGAAAAGGTGCTTTTCCAAATGAGGGAGCCTATCCAGCAGGCCTGGGCCAACTTGGGCTCTCCCTCCAGGTGTTTTGGACTCCAACTCCCACAATTCCTAAGGGTAGGGGAATTGTGGGAGTTGGAGTCCAAAAAACACCTGGACGGGAAGTAGCAGCCAATAGTGAAAGGACCAAGGCCAGCTCATCATTGTTTGGGTATCAGCCAGCACGTCAACAACTTAAATCTAGAAATAGTTTTCTAAGATCTACAGAGACACTCACTGGAACACCTCAGCAAGCGAGAGTCCAAAAGTGGCAGGCTCAAACCCAGAACCTCAACCAATGGCTGATACCAAATGAGAGACTCCCCCCTGGGCACACAGAAGACTGGGCGACTTGGAAGGCACTGAACAGACTGCGCTCTGGCACCACGAGATGCAGAGCCAACCTTAAGAAATGGGGCTACAAAGTGGAATCCTCGGTATGCGAGTGTAGAGAAGAGCAAACCACTGACCACCTGCTGCAATGCAACCTGAGCCCTGCCACATGCACAATGGAGGACCTACTTGCAGCAACACCAGAAGCACTCCAAGTGGCCAGATACTGGTCAAAGGACATTTAACCAACTACCAAACTCACAAGTTGTGTATTTTTCTGTCTGTTTGCTTTGTTTCTGTTAGAAATGTAATATATAATGGACTGGTTGCTCTGACACGACAAATAAATAAATAAAATCTGTTGGAAGCAAGTGCGAATGTTGCAATGGTCAAGCTTGAATGGCGTTGAGTAACCCATGAAGCTGCAAAGTCAATCAGTGAGGGTATCTGCTGTTGCTGCCTGGAGGAACCCTCTGTGGAACGATGTCCAGGGTGGGAGAAAGAACCCTTGTCTCTTTGAAGCCAGTATATATGTTGCAACAGAATCGTAGAATCCTAGAGTTGGAAGAGACCTCATGGGCCATCCAGTCCAACCCCATTCTGCCAAGAAGCAGGAATACTGCATTCAAGGCACCCCCGACAGATGGCCATCCAGCCTCTGTTTAAAAGCTTCCAAAGAAGGAGCCTCCACCACACTCCGGGGCAGAGAGTTCCACTGCTGAACGGCTCTCACAGTCAGGAAGTTCTTCCTCATGTTCAGATGGAATCTCCTCTCTTGTAGTTTGAAGCCATTGTTCCTTATCCTAATCTCCATGGAAGCAGTAAACAAGCTTGCTCCCTCCTCCCTGTGGCTTCCTCTCACATATTTATACATGGCTATCATATCTCCTCTCAGCCTTCTCTTCTTCAGGCTAAACATGCCCAGCCCCTTAAGCCACTCCTCATAGGGCTTGTTCTCCAGACCCTTGATCATTTTAGTCGCCCTCCTCTGGACACATTCCAGCTTGTCAATATCTCTCTTGAATTGTGGTGCCCAGAATTGGACACAATATTCCAGGTGTGGTCTAACCAAAGCAGAATAGAGGGTAGCATTACTTCCCTAGATCTAGACACTATGCTCCTATTGATGCAGGCCAAAATCCCATTGGCTTTTTTTGCCGCAGCACATCACATTGTTGGCTCATGTTTAACTTGTTGTCCATGAGGACTCCAAGATCTTTTTCGCACGTACTGTCCTCGAGCCATGCGGTCCCCATTCTCTCCTGATGTTTCATCTGCATCTATGGCAGGCATCCTCAGGTTGTGAGGTCAGACCCTTGTAAGCTGCCCCGAGTCCCCTTGGGAGATGGTTGGCGGGGTATAAAAATAAAATTATTATTATCATTTGCCACACAGTGATTTAAAAATGCAAAATTTAATTAAATATTTAGAGCCACATTTTGAAAAATAAGGGAGACCCATAAGTGTCTCCCGTGTTCCAAACGGAGTACAATAGCCAAGTTGCACCTTGGTAGCCTTGAAGGGAAACCTCTCGCCAGCCCAACCCATAAAAAGGCACAGCCATTCTACACTACGGCCCTGAAAACGTGGCTTGTGAGGAATAAGTCCCAGATGCCAGTCATAGCTTCTCAGCTGGTGGCATCATCTACTTCCCAGATCAATGATTAATGCTTCTCAATCCGGCTTCTGCCTTCAGATCCTGCAAATGTTTATCTTCTATGAGGGCAAAGCGAATGCCATAAGACAGCCATTACATAAAACCAGAAGTCCAGCACTGGCGTGGCTGTTTATTTCATCTTGGGGTTGCTTCATGGATTTAAGGTGGAAAATGCGCTAGTGGGGTGAAACTATGCTCAGCCTTTGGCTCCAAAACAACCATGTAAGAACTCGACAGGCATATACCCTGTGTATCACAGAAGGTTCTGGAAGATCCAGCATCTCTTCACCCAGTAAGCATTCCTAGTTTTCTAGAACAGGAGGCTCTTCGGTGTCTACACTGGGCTCCTCATCCTTTGATGGGGGTTCTGGTGCCTGTGGCCTGCTGCTCCCTTTGACCTCAGGAAGACCACTGAGCGCCTGGCCTTGGTCCGTCTTGGCTGCAACAACACTCTTCTTACTGACCGGCTTGGCCTTCTCTTTGTTGCAGATGGCCACCGCGGCTTTGTAATCTTCACGGAATTCCTTCAGCAGCTGTACGGCCTTCCGATATTCGAGCCAGTTTTCTTTCCTGTGCTCCAGAATACACACTAGAGAAAGAACGGAATCGTCAGCTCAAAAGTCAAATAGGTCTTTGTTACAGTAAGTCGTAGCAGGATCAAGTGTGTGTTAAAGAAAAACCTTATGATGTTAATGTAGGTCAGCCAGCATGTTTGGCCATACCCGGTGGGGTATAACTGTATGGATTTTAGTATACAATTTGGAGAAGCAATAATTATGTGCAGCTGGTAATGTAGGTCAGCCAGCATGTTTGGGCCATACCCGGTGGGGTAGAACTGTATGGATTTTAGAATACAGTTTGGAGAAGCAATAATTATGCACAGCTGGTAATGTAGGTCAGCCAGCATGTTTGGGCCGTACCTGGTGGGGTATAACTGTATGGATTTTAGAATACAGTTTGGAGAAGCAATAATTATGCACAGCTGGTAATGTAGGTCAGCCAGCATGTTTGGGCCATACCCGGTGGGGTATAACTGTATGGATTTTAGAATACAGTTGGAGAAGCAATAATTATGTGCAGCTGATAATGTAGGTCAGCCAGCATGTTTGGGCCTTAGGTGTCAAATGTGTGGCCCTCCAGGTGTTTGGGACTCCAATTCCCAGAAACCCAAGCCAGTTTGTCCAATGACCAGGAATGCTGGAAGCTGAAGTCCTAAACAGCTGGAGGGCTATTGTTTCACAACACTGGAAGAGAGCATAACTGGGGTCATCTATTGACACCACTGGAACCGTTAGTCCTCTGATGTCATCAGCGAGAGCAGCTGCACCCCATCATTTTGCACCTCTCTCAGAGCCTGAAAACTTGGCTGTTCCAGTGTGCCTTCAATGAATGAATGAACAATAATCTGCTGACCTGACCAATCCCTGCATAAATGCCCTCGGAAGCACTTTATTTTACTTTATTAAACCCTACTTCATCCCTCCAGATACATTATATTGCTCTCTCACCCAGTGTTTTTAAACATTTAATCCTTGCAACCGGCCCTGCCCACTATGATTAATTCTCCGTGTTCAAATATTGTGATTTTATATTGTCTGATGTGTTTATATATTTATTTACTACATTTATGTATCGCCTCTCTCAGCCCGCAGGAGACTCAGAACGGTGTACAGTCAGCATCAAAAACATAAAATACGATAAAAACAGTTAATTAAATATAAAACCAGGTAAAACAATCAATATCAATAAAAACATGCATCAGTTTGAGTCTCCTGATTATTTATAATGTTTCTTGTATTTTATTTTAATATTTTATTGTTGTACTGCTGGCCTGGCCTCATGTAAGCCGCCCTGAGCCCCCTTGGGGAGATGGTGGCAAGGTATAAATAAAGTATATTATTATTATTATTATTATTATTATTATTATTATTATTACTGCAATCTCCTCTCTCTGCCCCAGCAAACCACAGTCCCACTTGGTTCTCTGCACTTAGAAAGGATCCATCTTTGAGTGCATACATACCTAAGGGCACGTGCACAATGTTTGTGGGCTTCCTCATCTCCAAGAGGATCTCTTCCAGCTGCTGTGCCCTGGTCTTTTGGGCCTTTTTGGGCATGGTTCGCAATTTCTAGAAGGAACACGGAGTAGACCAGAGAGAAAGAGTCCTTTGAGAGCTGGAGACTTTGGAATGTCTTCCCCATTTCGCTTCAACTAAATAGACACTTGGCTACTACTAAGATGCATCTAAGTAGGGTGGTGGATAGTCAGGTCTCTTGGTCTCTCTCACTTGGGACGGCTGCCCTAAGCTAACACAAATTGATGGCAATTATCTCAGTGTTAAGAGGTGTAATCAGGCCATAGAAATTGTATGCTGAATACATAGAAGGGAGGTGGTGTTGAACAACATGACCATGCTAGAGGAGTAGGTGAATGGTTTTAGAGCAGGCACGGGCCAACTTCGGCCTTCCCTCCAGGTGTTTTGGACTCCAACTCCCACAATTCCTAACAGCCTACCGGCTGTTAGGAATTGTGGGAGTTAGAGTCCAAAACACCTGGAGGGAAGGCCGAAGTTGGCCCGTGCCTGTGTTAGGGGCAAAGTTATCTCTAGACCCAACTGACCGTCTTCTCTGCTGGGACGTAGGGCTTCTGGAAGCTGTCCAGCCTGGCCTTGCCCTCGCGGTAGACCCGAGGGTAACGGAGGGCCTTCTCCAACTCTTGGACATTGTGCTGTATTCCTGTTTTTAAAAACAACAGAATAGGAGTGAGACATTCACTGACTTTGACATTAACCTATTGAAACCTAATTGCAGATGATTCAGATACCCATACATGGTGCAAAATGTACATTTTTCAAAAATAACAAAATGAATGTGTCCAGAGGAGAGAGATGGCTCAAAAGATCAAGGGTCTGGAGAACAAGCCCTAGGAGGAGTGGCTTAAAGAGTTGGGCATGTTTAGCCTGCAGAAGAGAGAAAAGTTTGAGAGGAGACAGGATGAGGGCCATGGATGAAGATGGGAGGGGAAGCCATAGGGAGGAGGGAACAAGCTTGCTTTCTGCTGCCGGAGACTAGGATGCAACGGAACAATGGCTTCAAACTACAGGAAAGAAAGGAGATTCCACCTGAACATGAGGAAGAATTTCCTAACTGTGCGAGAGGGAGCTGTTCAGCAGTGGAACTCTCTGCCCTGGAGTGTTGTGGAGGCTTCTTCTTTGGAGGCTTTGAAAAAGACTGGATGGCCATCTGTCAGGGGTGCTTTGAATGTGATTTTCCTGCTTCTTGGCAGAAAGGGGTTGGACTGGATGACCCACCAGGTCCCTTCCAACTCTAGGATTTTATGATTCTAATTTAAGCTGCTTTGAGTCTCTTATTAGGACAACAACAACAACAACAACAACAACAACAACAACAATAATAATAATATTTATTTATTTAGAACTTTTATATACCGGTCTTCTCGACCTCCGCAGAGGGACTCAGTCCGGTTCACAGCACAAGATTCATAAACAATAGTTTAAAACATCACATCCCATAATTCACTAAAACATTAAAATAAGATCATATAATTACATAATGCCAAGTCGTCAAAATGAAGTCACAATTCATCGCCATCCGTCCGTGTGGTCAGGAGTTATTGACTCACACATCAAATGCTAAATTCCAGAACCAGGTTTCCACCAGTTTTCTAAAAGTCAGGAGAGAAGGGGCAGATCTAATCTCCAGTGGGAGAGAGTTCCAGAGCCGAGGGGCCAGCACCGAGAAGGCCCTGTCCCTCGTCCCCACCAGACGCGATTGCGAGGGTGGTGGGACTGAGAGCAGGGCCCCTCCAGAAGATCTTAACAACCTTGATGGTTCATAGGGGAGAATCCGTTTGGACAGGTAAACTGGGCCGGAGTCGTTTAGGGATTTATAGGTCAACACCAGCACTTTGAATTGTGCTCGGAAGCTAATTGGCAGCCAGTGGAGCTGGTGCAACAGAGGAGTAGTATGCTCCCTGTACCCCGCTCCTGTTACTAATCTGGCTGCCGCTTGTTGGACTAATTGCAGCTTCCGGGTAGTCTTCAGAGGCAACCCCACGTAGAGAGCATTGCAGTAGTCTATACGGGATGTAACCAGAGTGTGGACTACCGTGGCCAAGTCAGACACACATTTCTTTGTGCAGTCATCTAAATATTTAATAGCATTTCCCTAGAGTTATATTGTATGTGTACTCCCCCACTGCATTCCAGTTTTTGAATATCTGAATACCCCTTTTCCTATTATACGAAACCCATATATTAAAGCCATATGAATTTTCAAGGAGTTGTTGGAAACATTCACAAGTTGATATGCAATTTTGACAGAAATGAGAAACTGAACAATTGTTAAACCTTAGGCAAGCTGCTAAAGTAAAAAAAAAGGCCTGCACCATGTTCATGCACATCCTGCTTAGAGTTCAATATCTTCTCAGCATGGTCATCAAAAGTTGTGCCATGGAGACATCACTACAATAGTCATTCATTTGTGGCTAGGAACGAAGACAGAGCAACTCACCCAGTGGCTCCACGAAATCTGGCCCGGGGTCCCCTCCGAGCAGCTCCTCATAACCCCTGTATTTCTCAGGCACTTGCAATGATTTTCTTGTCTTCCTTTGTGACTTAATTGACTTCTTTGTAATAGTGGGGACCTCATCCACCTGCAGACCCAAACCAGGAACAAGGTATGCTTTTACCCCCCCAAAAAAATCTCTCTACAAGTCCATGAAATCAAATGATAAGAAAGGAGATACTGAGTAACCATTAGAAAGAATTTCTTGGATAAGTAACAGTCCAACGAGTGTTCACCACCCCTAAAAATACAACCCCCCCCCAAAAAACCCAGCAGAACAGACTTAAATTCCCCCAAAATACACCATATATATATATATATACACACACACACATACACTCATATACATATACACATGCACACATACATACACGTACATATATATATATACCCAAGCACACACAAATACGCACACATGCATTTACATACACACACATATATATACATATGCACAAATATACACACACATACATACATACTTATATAAACACAAATATGCATATAGACAAGCACACACATAGTCACAATATACATATACACATGTAAACACACAAATATATACACACATATATACACATCTACACACACATATGCACGCACATATATACACCCACACTCACACATATACACGGATACGCAAATATATACACACACAAAACACACATATACAGACTGGGCCACAGCAACACGTGGCAGGGGACGGCTAGTAATACCAATAATAGAGTAAAATAATAAATGTAAACAATACTAATAACAGAGTAAAATACTAAATAACTTTGACTCGAGTATAAGCCGAGGGGAGCCTTTTCGGCCTAAAAAAAGGGCTGAAAAACCATGCTTTTACTCGAGTATATACAGTACTATCCTCACTCCCTGCATCAAAACCAACACACCCCAGTCTTTGTGTTTCAGTATTTTTCTGAGGAAGGAAGGCTCTAGCACAGAGTTCTGCAATGAGTTCACATACCTGGGTCATGAAGAAAGATCCTGATTCCCCTTCCCCTGGAGATTCCTCACGAGGACTACAAATTTCACTGGAAAATTCGTCGTCGATCCCTGGAGGAACGGCGGCTAAGTGGGCTTGGGCAAATAACTCGTAAAGCTCTCTGGAAGATGACCGGGAAGGCAAAAGGGATCCGGATGGAATTTCTTGAAAGCGAGGTGTTTCGAGTGACTGACGGCCCTCTCCCTGTGATCCAGAGGCTGAGCTCATCTCTGCTTCAGACTCTCGGTTGGGTTTGGTTTGCTCCTCCTGAAGATCATGTTCAGCTGAAGATGGGAGAGACCCCATCATGTCCTCTTCCCCTCTAAGAGAGACACTTGAGGGAACAAGCTCAGGAAAGCACTGCTCATGCAAAAATGAGACAGATTTGGACTGATCTGGTTCTTCCAGAAGTGAGCCGGCAGGTGGCAATAGCTCGGCCACATCCGGTCCCTGCGGAGGAACAGCTAGAGAGTCTGGACCCAAGAGATCTTGACCTGGCAAGGCTGAGCTGTGTGAAGGAGAGAGTTCTACCAGGTGATCACCTCTATGAGAAGCATCTGGAGAGAGAGCCTCAGGTAAGTCTCCATGGGGTGAAGTACATTCTAACCAATCCAGTCCTAGAGGGCTTGAGCTGGTAGGTGGGGTGGATCGCAACTGATCGTCCTCTAGCGTGAAAGACCCAGCTGGTGGGAAGGCCTTGGACAGGTTCTCTTTCTCTGCGACAGAAGAAGGTTTTGGCATTTCTTCCTCCACTGCTGAAGTTTCCATTGGTGGGACAGGCTCTGGCAAAGGGGACTCCAGCGGTGGAACCGGCGGTAGATGCTCTACCTCAGAAGTCACTGGTGGGACAATCTCAGAAGGTTCCCTCTGTGTTGTCAAGGTTGGTTCAGACAGATCCTGTTCTTGTGGAGGTAGAATGGGCTCTACTTGGTCCGGTCCTGCCGAAGCAGGTGGCGCTCTCTCTGAAAAATCCCTTGAAGGAGAAGGGATGGGAGTAGGAGGGCCAGGAAAATCTGTCAAATTCTGCTCTCTCAAAAACCTATGAATCCGTGCTTCAAGCTCCCTTTGATGCTGTTCCTCTGAGAGAAGAGACTGGGGCCGGACCCTACCAATATTGGGAAACAGCAAGTTTTCCAGTGAAGAGACTTCGTCAGCGGCGGTCTCAAACTGGTCAATTGTGGACGGGAGATCAGAGAAATCGTCTGTGGCGAAAGAACTGCACAGAGAATAAGGTACGGATCTATCTTCCGGGTTGAGCATTAAGAGGACCGGACGCTCACTCCCTATGGACTTGATGGATGGAAGAGGCGGGGGCATCCCTTGGTATAATTTGTGGGTATCCAAGTCCGCCCCAGTCCACAGCTGCCAGAAGGTGGTTTCAAGCGGTGCGTCTATCACCAGCGGGCGCTTCTTGACTTTGGGCAGCTGCGATTTCACCTGCAACAGAGATGAAGAAGAAGCATTAGATGAAGACTGGATTCAGAGCACGCACAGGACAGCACCAGGGGCAGAAATAACCCTTAGTTGCAGACTTCAGCACTGAGATCTTGGAAAATCCTAACCATAAATGGCTTTGTTTTCTAGCAACTCGCATCTTATTGAAAGTGAATCATAGAATCAAAGAGTTGGAAGAGACCTCATGGGCCATCCAGTCCAACCCCCTGCCAAGAAGCAGGAATATTGCATTCAAATCACCACTGACAGATGGCCATCCAGCTTCTGTTTAAAAGCTTCCAAAGAAGCATCAACACTTATCTATAGAGAAATGAGGGACAGAGGGAGCCCTATAGCATTCTGCCTTGGTCAGACCACACCTCGAATACTGTGTCCAATTCTGGGCACTACAATTGAAGGGAGATGATGACTCTAAGCTGGAATGTGTCCAGAGGAGGGTGACTCAAAGGATCAAGGGTCATGAGAACAAGACCCATGAGGAGCAGCTTAAAGCATGTTTAGCCTCCAGAAGATAAGGCAGAGAGGAGACATGATAAGGACCATGGATCAAGATGTGAGGGGGAAGTCATAGTGAGGAGGAAGCAGGCTTCCTTTCTGCTGCCCTAGAGACTAGGACACAATGGAGCAATGGCTTCAAATTACAGGAAAGAAAGGAGATTCCACCTGAACATTAGGAAGAACTTCCTGACTGTGAGAGCTGTTCAGCAGTGGAACTCTCTGCCCCGGAGTGTGGTGGAGGCTCCTTCTTTGGAGGCTTTTAAACAGAGGCTGGATGGCCTTCTGTCAGGGGTGCTTTGAATGCAATTTTCATGCTTTTTGGTAGAATGGGGTTGGACTGGATGGCCCACCAGGTCTCTTCCAGCTCTGGGATTCTATGATTCTATGCCTGCTGTCTCATTTGTACCTCTGTTTACATCAGGCATGGGCAAACTTTAATCTTCCAGGTGTTTTGAACTTTAACTCCCACAATTCCTAACAACCAGTAAGTTGTTAGGAATTGTGGGAGTTGAAGTCCAAAACACCTGGAGGGCCGAAGTTTGCCCATACCTGATTTACATCTATATAACTCAAAGTGTTCTGCTTCTCGCTGCATGAAGAGGTCACTTCTCCTTTCGTCCCAGATATCTTAAGTGAGTCATTACTCTCTTTGTTTGAGAAAGAAGCATGATGAGGCTTCTTTGCCTCAAAATGCCTTCTACACAGACGTGAGAGTTAGCAACACAGACTCTTCTACCAAAATTAGGTAACTTTCCTTTATCTAATTTTGCATTTGAGATGTATTACCTTCAACAATATTTTTTGACAGTTTTAACCTAACCAGAGCATCCTTTGGGAGAGATAAAGTGGGGTATAAATAAATACAATAATAATAATAGTAATAATAATAACAACAACAACACATCACACGGTCCTAGACACTTGGGCAGAGTGTCTGCTGTGGACTCAACTTGTTGTGTTTCAAATAATAATAATGTACAGAAGTTGATTGTAAATGATATGATTATAAACTGTATTGATTGTAAATGATATTATTATAACTGTATTTGTGTTTACACTGGTTGCCCTAATGCTGGAGCGGCCTAGCTGTGAGGAGTGTGTTACCATGGAAACGATGCTAATGCTGGAGCGGCCTAGCTGTGAGGAGTGTGTTACCATGGAAACAATGCTGTAGAGAAGTGGGAGGAGCTTAGAGAGGGGAGTTTTGAAAAGCGACAGTTAAAAGTCAGTTAGGTTTTATGCTCAGAGGAGTGAAGAGTCATGAAGAGTTAGGGTTTAGGCTCAGAAGAGTGCACAGTCATGAAGAGTCAGGGTTGAGGCTCAGAGGAATGAAGAGTTAGGTTTAGGCTCAGGGAAGTGAAGAGTTGAGAGAGAGAGAGAGTGGGAAGTAAAGAAGCAGTGTTTGTGAATAGTCGGAGGTTTCTTCAGTTCGGGAAGGCTGAAGGGGAAACCTTATTAGTTTTATTAGTTAGAGAAGACTAATAGAAGCTCGTTTAGATCACTAGTTAAAAGTGAACTAGAGATCTGAGGTTTGATCACGGAAGGGTCAAACAGGAAGACTATTCACCTCAGGAACCATTGTTTAATAAAGTGCTTCACCACAGCAAAGGTTATTTATAAGTTGTAACATCAGAAGACTGAACTGTATCGCAACCAAGTTATATGTAACGTTCTCCAAGTATTTTCCAAGTTTATCACCAAACTGCAACCATACGCTTTGTTTCAAAATAAACTTGTTCTCTTTGATTGTAAAACTGCCTCATCTCCATTAATTCTGCGTTTAGTGTGCCCAATCTCCCAAAATTACCTCACATCATCAAATTGGTGGCACCATTAAGGATAATAAATAATAAATCGTAACTTCTCTCTCCTGAGACCTCCCTTACCGAATTTGGGGCCCGAGCTCCTTCCCAAATAATAATAGTAATAATAATATATCACACAGTCCTAGATGCTTGGGAAGGGTTCGACTTGTGATTTTGTGATATGAAATCCAGGATATATATCTTGTTAGCTGTGACATACTGTGTTATTATTATTATTATTATTATTAAACTTTATTTGTACCCCGCTAGCATCTCCCAAAGGATTCGATGCAGCTTACACAGGCCGAGGCCTCAACAACACAACATAACCATACAATCAAGCAAATCAAACAATTAAAAACAAAATAAAGCAAAGTAAACAACAGGCACAATACACTAAAACACAATAAAACTGGGCCGGGCCAAAAGGTGGGTACAAGAATTAAAAGCGCTGATGTGACAAGAGGTGTATAAAGGGCTTCAAGGGCAAGTGCGATGTGCGGTGTGCAGCAATCATTGGTTCTGGTAAAGTGCTCATGGGACTTGGTATTGGAGATTTCCTAATCTGGGAAGGCGCATCGGAAAAGCCAGGTTTTTAAGTTCTTTCTGAAGACAGCCAATGTAGGGGCCTGTCTAAGGTCTTTGGGGAGGGTGTTCCAGAGTTGGGGGGCCACCACGGAAAAGGCCCTGTCCTGCGTCCTCACCAAGCGCGCTTGCGACGCCGGTGGGATCACGAGCAGGGCCTCTCCAGATGTTTTTGTGTCAGTAAAACTCACCTCTGAGGATGCTTGCCATAGATGCAGGCGAAACGTCAGGAGAAATGCCTCTAGAACATGGCCATATAGCCCGAAAAAACCCACAAGAACTGAGTATTATTATTATTATTATTATTATTATGCGGTTTTCTGGCATTGTATATTTCTGCTGCTTCTGTGACTGTTCATTTGTATTTTGATTCTGTAGCCCACTTGTCGATGAATGTCCAAAATCAGCAGCATCCACTGCGGTCCTTTTTATCATGGGCGTCGACCAAGCTAGTAAAGACTTCGTTTTGGTTTACTTCTCTATAGTGCTAATGGGTTAGCTGCTCTTGGTTCCACTCCTCAGCTGAGACCTCTCTGGCTTGATTGGACCTGTTGGTAGTTACACTACCGCCAGCACAGCTCTCAGCATCCTTGGAGCAGTTAAGCCCTCCACCACGACAAGGTGGCATATAGATCTCATTTACTGTGACATACTGTGTTTTTGTGTCAGATAATAATAATAATAATAATAATAATAATAATCCTGCATATTTTCTCTCCTGTTTTCTACCATAAGCTCATACATAGCACTGGCTATGTTGCTCTCTATTCTGCTATAGATACCAAATATTCCCACACTTCTTCCTGGCTTTCTCCCGGCCTTCATTGAAACTTAGAAGATACTTTTTTGGACAACTCCCAGCAGTAATTCAAGCCCAGAGAAGGTAGAATTGTAGATTTGCCTATGTCCCTATAGCCAAACATGATTACATCAGCTGCTGAAACCTCCATTGCAGCCTTTCATTCATCTTCTCTTACATTTTGCATTGGCTGGGAGAGCATACACTGTAGAGATAATGCAGTTTGACACCACTTTGACAGGTATAGCTCAAAGCTGCGTAATCCTGGAGACTGTAGTTTTGCAAGGTCTTCAGATTTGTCTTCCAAAGAGAGCTGGTGCCTTGCCAAATTACACCTCCCAGGGTTCCATAGCATTGAGTCATGCCAGTTAAATGATGTCAAACTGCATTATTTTTACATGCATCTTGGGAGATTTTACAAACAAGTATTTTTTTTAAAGGAAAAGCAACATTGTGAAAGTCTTGATTCTTCCCAGGTACATAAACATGTGATTTCCCTTTTCCCACCCCTTCTCTGTGTGATCCAGTCCTTGGGTCAAATGTTACCCATTTCTGGAGCTTGGGAAACCTTGGACTACAATTCACTCCCAGAATCCACATCAGAGTGAAAAGAGCAACTGGGAAAACACAGCCCTCCTCTTCCCCCCTCTCAGGCTGTGGGGCCATGGCCTGTCCAGTGATTTCTTTAGGAGTGGTCAGAGCTACCTTGCGGTTGGCTTTGATGGGTATAAAGATCCGCGGCTTCTCCAGCTTGGAAATTTTCTTCCGGACTAGTTTTATGCCCAGTTTGTTCTGAAGGAAACTGGTGAGTAAAGGAGGGTCACCTGGAAAAGGGAAAGAGGGGATGGACATGATGTCAGCCGACTGAAGATCAGTTTTGCACTTCTTGGCTTAACTTGGCCACATTTCTGCACATGTAAACACACACATACCACACAGTTCCAGCAAATACTTTGAAACCAGCCCTAGTAACCGTAAGGGATAGAAACCTGCTCATTTTTAAAAAGTACTGGGCTGTTGCGCAGCTAGTTAATAGCATGCTGCATTAAATCACTACTGACCAAGAGGTCATGAGCTCGAAGCCAGCCCGGGTTGGAATGAGCTCCCGACCATTAATAGTCTAGCTTGCTGTTGACCTATGCAGGCCAAAAAACAGTTGTATCTCTCAAGTAGGAAATTTAGGTACCACTGTATGTGGCGAGGCTAATTTAACGAATTTACGATACCATAAAACCTTCCAGCAGCATGCAGAAGAATGAGGAAGTACTCCATCAAGGACACGGTGTCACAAGTGGACAATGAAGCAGCAGCTCCCCCTGTGGCCGGAATCGAGCATACCTTCATAAAGCTGGAATGTTAAATTGCCTCCGTGTTTGTCTATATCTGTTGTATGTCTAATTGGCATTGAAAGTTTGCCATGTATATGTGCATTGCTATCTGCCCTGAGTCCCGTGCAGAGTGAGAAAGGCAGAATATAAATACTGTAAACAAATAAATAAATAAAAATATAATATTTTTAGGGGTTGATTTCTGCAAGAGATATATTCCCTGCCTGAGAAAACTCTGAAATTGACAGGATTGGGATAAATAACACACATAGCATATATGATGCTACAGAAGTTCATTTGCTCCTGTGGATAGAACCTTAAGTCAACAGAACCATTGAATCAATTAAATTTACATACCTTAGGGGTAGGATAAGCCCAGCCCCATAGACTGCATGTGCCCCCTTGACCCTACTGACAGCTGCTACAAAACCCCTACTTCCATCCCAAAATAATAATCTATAGAAATAAAAATGTAATGTTTGTGAGATTAACATAACTCAAAAACCACTGGGTGAATTGACACCAAATTTGGACACAAGACACCTATCAGGGCAACAAGTGACCATCACTCATAAAAACCCTGAAAAACACAGCAGAAGAGACTTAAAAAGCAAAAACAAAAACCCCAAAAATACATTACAACACATGCACAAAACCACATATATACACAAACTCACATATATACACAAATATATACACACATATATGCATATACACACACAAAACACATATACACAAAAAAGAGGAAGGAAAGAAGGAAGGAGAGAAGGAGGGAAAGAAAGAGGGAAAGAAGGAGAGAAGGAAAGAAAGGTAGAGACGGGAGGAAGGAAGGAGAGAAGGAACGAAAGAGAGAAGGAACGAAAGAGAGAAATAGAGAGGGAAGGAAGGAAGGAAAGAGACAAGGAAGGATGGAACTAAAGAGCAAAGGAAGCGAGGAAAGAAGCAGGTACAGAAGGAAGGAAGAAGAAGGGAAAGAAAAAGAGGGATGGAAGGAAGGAGAGAAAGAAAGAAGGAGTGAAAGAGGGAGGGAAGGCTGGCCACAGCAACGCATGGCGGGTACAGCTAATAAGAAAATAAATTCAGAACAATATTCAGTGATTTTTACGAAGCTCCCCCATAGTGATAATTGGAATTTCAAAAAGACACCCCAAACTCCCCAGATTCCAGGAACCCAAGCAATTAATCTGATATTCCTGATCCCACTATTTTAGAGTTGTCCAGGTGAAACTATCCCAAGGTGGCCAGACTCTACCGCTGCGTGCAGTGGTGAAAGGATTCCCATGGAAGGTCAGTTCTGCCAGAGATGGGAAGAGAGCCACGGCTAAGAGGTCCTCCTCGTGTTCAACCTGCAAAACAAAACACAGCAGCACATTCAAGGCTTTCCACGTGATCACGAGTAACAGTTCTGGAACCAAGTGTGCACAGTGGCCTGGCATCACACTTAGGTCTAACCCTCCCAGAGGAGGAGAGGCTGCATCTGTACCACGTCAAAACTTCAAAAGACAACACAGTGGACTTTCCCTGCATACAGAAAGCCAGAACACCAGGAGAAAAGTTTCTGTTCCAAAATTTGGAAAAGTTATAGTTTAGAGCAGGCATGGGCAAACTTGTGCCCTCCAGGTGTTTTGGACCTCAACTCCCACAATTCCTAACAGTCTACCAATCAGTATAGCGAGTGCTAACTGGAGGATACTGGGAGTTGTAGTACAAAAATATCCAACTTCACCACCTCTCTAATGTATTAGGCCTCTCTCTTTTAGTTTGGACGGTTGACAATTTGAAGCCCGGGTCAGGGTGAGTGCCTGACCTTAAGCCCAGCTTCTGCCTACCTAGCAGTTCGAAAGCAAATGTTTGAGTAGATAAATAGGAACTGCATTAAGGCAGAGAGGTATTTTAGGCAAGGTGCTTGGATAAGAAAAAGGAGGAAGTTTACGAACAAAGAAAGCTCTTCAGCAGAGAAAGTGGAGCGACAGCCCCCTCCTGTGGCCGGAACCAAGCACAGCCTCCAAAGATGCCAAAAGATGGGAAAGCCTATATATACACCTCTATTTGCTGTCTGTCTTGTCATTGTATAATTGGCATTGAATGTTTGCCATATATGTATTCTGCGATCTGCCCTGAGTCCCCTTTGGGGTGAGAAGGGCAAAATATAAGTACTGTAAATAAATAAATATATATTATTGTTTCAGACATCTTATTTATTTATTTGCTACATTTTTATACTGCCCCTCTCAGCCCGCAGGCGACTCGAGGTGGTTCACAAGGCAACAATTCAATGCCAACAATATCCTAAAAACATTTAAAACATGTAAAAGCATTTACATATCAATTAAGACCATAACACATTAATAAAAGCAAATCATTTCATCTCCAAGATAAAAACGTAATCCGATCTCATAGTCCGATTGTTCCACATTCCTATGTCAGTTACACTGCCTTTTCAAACACCTGCTCGAACAGCCAGGTTTTGAGTTTTTTTCAGAAAGTCAAAAGGGTGGGGGCTGATCTAACATCCCTAGGAAGGGCGTTTCATAGCCGAGGGGCCACCACTGAGCAGGCCCTGTCTCTCGTCCCCGCCAAACGTATTTGTGATGCAGACGGAGTCGAGAGCAGGGCCTCCCCAGATGATCTTAACGTCCTAGATCAGGGGTAGGGAACCTTTGGCCCTCCAGCTGTGGTGGACTTCAACTCCCACAATTCCTTGAGGCTCGGCATTCGCCCCAAAGGCTTACTTTGGCCCAATGCCGAGCCTCAAGGAATTGTGGGAGTTGAAGTCCACCACAGCTGGAGGGCCAAAGGTTCCCTACCCCTGTCCTAGATGGTTCATAAGGGGGGATGTGTTCAGGCAAGTTGGGCCAGAACCGTTTAGGGCTTTATAGGCTAAAGCCAGCACTTTGAATTGTGGCCGGTAGCAAGCCGGCAGCCAGTGGAACTGGCGCAACAGCGGAGTTGTATGCTCCCTGAGCGCTGCTCCTGTTAGTAATCTGGCAGCCGCCGGCTGGACCATTTGAAGCTTCCAAACAGTCTTCAAAGGCAACCCCACGTAGAGTGTGTTGCAGTAGTCTATACAGGATGTAACCAGAGCGTGGACTACCGTGGCCAAGTCAGACTTTCCAAGTCTGGCCTTTGGTCTCAGTTCTGAAAGATCAGCCTGACTTTGAAACAATGCAAAACGAAGGATCGGATCACCTGATTGTCCGCCAAACTAAGGAACCTCAGTTCTGGCAAAGGAAGGGTGAACTCAGTGTCTTCGTCGACGCAGGAAGTCTTGGGATCCGGCTGCGGGGAAGGAGAAGGGGAAGGAGAAGGCTCCTGCAAGGAAGAGCATGAGGGAGTCAGTAATGGAAGCCCAGGCCAAACAAAAATTAATATCTAAAATCTTCCTGGGTGGAATTTAGTGCAGACATTGTATCGTGAACCCTCCACATCCACCAGGTTTAGGGTCACAAGAGCATTGTGAAAGTAAAAAAAAAAATGTGCAAGAGTTCCAACTGTAAAACTCTGCTTCAACCAATGCCAGATGCACACTGTCCACAGTGTCACTCTGCGTGTGAAATGCAACTTATCTCCTCAGGTGCCACTAAAGGGATGATGCCAGCCATTGTGTTAAAAAGGATGGTCACAAACCTATGTCTTCCCTAAAAACCAAAGGGCCAACCTTCAGGGAGTTTTCTCAATCCATCGCCACATACGAGAGGAGTTCCCATTCAGTTTAATGGGCCTGCTGCAAAAAAGTGGTTTGAAGCATTGTGCTCTATGGCTGGTAACAACCTGAATGAAAGGAACTCTTTACCTGTGTTGGTGGCTCTGGAGTCCAGGATGGAAAGAAAACCTCTGGAAGAGAGAAAGAAATTTGAAAAATCAACACAATCAAATTGATTTAATCTCTTTGTTGTTCATTGCTGTTAAGTCAGCTCCAAATAATGGTAGCCCTATGAATGGACATCCTTGTGAATTGGACATCCATTGCCCTGCTCAGGTTAAACAAACTCATAGATTCATTTGTCAGAAATATTAAAAATTAACTAGATATTTTTAATTACAAAAATATGAATCAAGCGCTGAAAGGGTTAAATGGATGTGATGACTCAGCAAAAGCTGCAGTTCTATATAACCAGGTGTGCCTGTAGCTTAGTAGGCCTCTGTGTTAGTTTGCCTCAGTGGGAGAAAGGTCTCAGTCTGTGAGAAGGCCTCAGTGTGAGGTAGGCCTTAGTCTGTGAGAAAGGCCTCTGTGTGAGGTAGGCCTCACAGTGTGAGGTAGTCTTTAGTCTGTGAGAAGGCTGAGTGTGAGAAGGCCTGATGTGAAAAGCTTCGGTGAGAGGAAGTCCCAGGTTGAAGGCTTTGTGTGTAAAGTTCTAGTATAAAGGCTGATGTGTGTAAAAAACTACTGTGTGAAGCTCATTGCAAGTTCTATGTGGGAAGAGCCTTGGTGAGAGTGAAGAAGCCCAGTGTGGAAGCAATGAAAGAAGTATAAAGAACTTTATATGTTCTTCAAGGAACATGAAAGGCACTGCAGACTACTTCAACCAGAGAAGTCAGCCATAGCAGAGCATCTGATGAACCAGCATGGACACAGCATATTATTTGAGAACACAGAAATGTTGGACCACTCTCACAACCACCATGTCAGACTACACAGAGAAGCCATTGAAATCCACAAGCATGTGGACAATTTCAACAGAAAGGAAGAGACCATGAAAATGAACAAAATCTGGCTACCAGTATTAAAAAACTCTAAAATTACAACAGCAAAACAACAGAGAGGAAACAACCAGGCACATCTTAACACCTCCCAGCAAGAGATTTTCCCAGGCTCAGGCAGGCCTTCAAATGCTAATGAAGGTGGTCAGTTGAAACATTCACACCTAGCTCCAGCAGAGAAGAGCTCTTTGCCCCACCCCAGCCATTCCACAGATATATAAACCCTTTGTCCTATTTCCAACAGACCTCACTACCTCTGAGGATGCTTGCCATAGATGCAGGCGAAACGTCAGGAGAAATGCCTCTAGAACATGGCTCTATAGCCCGAAAAAACCCACAAGAACCTAGTGATTCCAGCCATGAAAGCCTTCGACAAAACTTTATATATGTTATAGAAACCTTGTTGTAGTGCAACCATATTATTTTACGACAAAGAAAAGCCTCCTATGGAAGAGATAACATTGGTCTGTGTGTTTTGGTTCTTTTTATCACTTCTGGCTACTGGTGTTGGGTCACGCTGCTGCTAGTAAATTACTCTGCTGTGCATTTATGAGGAGGGTCTTTTGTTAATAAGCCTACTCATCCAACATCATCGAGTTGGGAGAAATCTCAGGAGTCATACACTCCAATCCCTTCAATTATGCCTTTCCTGCCTAAAAGCTCTAAATAAGTGACTCAACGTAAATGCTGCACCTCAGAATAGATTCACCTTGCTGAAATCACCAGAACTGCACCCAGACTGAAGTTTTTGTAGTTTATTAAAAAGTTAAGATGAAAAGTTTAAGAAGCAAATAATGTTCCAAAGATCGATAAAACATAGCTCTGTAAAGCAGAATTCCAAATGGCACCAATGAAACAAAGTCCCATGAGAATATGACAAAATCCCAAGACCATGGACACAGGAAAACGAACATAAGCTGTTTGGTTGAGCGAGAAGTTGCTCTGACAAAGGTTTGTTTTCAAACACACTGCTTAATACCCTTTGCAATACTTTGGCCTCTGGCCTCCTTCTTGTTGGCTATTCTCACACTCCTTCGAACTCTGAATTCCCAACGGTCAGCCCGATCCAAGATTCCCATTTCATCAAGGTCAGGCTGCTCGTTAGTGTCAGCCTGGTTGCCTTCCTGTCTACTCTCAGGCTGAGAACGGTCCTCCTTTTCTGAGTCAATCTGCACCTGGCTAGTTTCAGTATCAAAAACATCATTCCCTGCTGTGGGAAATTGAACTTGCACACCCTGTTCCTCATTGTCTACAACAGGAATGTTTTGAACCTGATTGTGAACCTGAATCCCATCATCCCCATCAGAGTCACTCTGAGACCCCATCTGAGTCACAACACTATTAGTCTGTGGTTCCAGCTGAGTCACAACAGTAAAATAAACACAAAACAATTAAAAACCTACAAATATACAAACATAGAATTAACAGAATTAGAAATAAGCAGTTAAAACCCTTAAAATCGATTATGTATATCTATTTGTTCCTACATATATACTGATCATGGTAGGCAACCCTATACTTTGTCTTGTGTGTTCTCCTGGCCATTTGGAGTGCATTTGCTGTGTTCTTTACATCAGCAATCACAAACTCTTCAGAGCCTCACCCGTTCTGTCTGGATCCTTGCTGTTCTGAAGAACGATATAGTCCGGCGTCCCGCTCCGTTTCGAGGGCTTATCCTGCTGGAGCTGTTTCCCGGCTTTTTTCCGGCTCCGCAGACCTTCTCTGATGCCAGACTTTGCCGAAAGCGGGTGGATGGAGAAGCGGGCGTTCTCTACCTGGTGGAGATACGGCACCTCTCTGATCCCGTTTCTGTCCAGATTTAACTGCTTCAAGCTAAGGAGACACAGATGTGGCGTAGGAAGGGCCAGGTGTTGAGTGAACCCCTTCAGTAGGGTGCAAGACACTTTCCAATCCCAAACCTAATTATGGACAAACAAGGGGAAGCTATCTATACATATTTCTCTGTGGGGTCTCTTCCAGGAGGACAACAGGACTTAATTCTACAGTATAGATACACCCTGAAAATCCCATAACTAAAGGCATTTGTGAAGCATGGTGAAGTTCTGACCTTTCAGCATCTAAAGCTATACAGAAAACCTAGCAAATTTCTCTTTAGAGGCTCTTCTGCTGTATCAGATGCCTGGCTCATTTCTAACTGTTGAATTATTTATAGCTTTGTATATACAACTAGACCAGGAGTCCTCAAACTTTTTAAACAGAGGGTCAGGTCACAGTCCCTCAAACTGTTGGAGAGCCGGACTATAATTTGAAAAAAAATAATGAATTCTTATGCACACTGCACATATCTTATTTGTAGTGCAAAAAACACTTAAAACAATACAATAATTAAAATGAAGAACAATTTAAACAAATATAATTTTATTAGTATTTCAATGGGAAGTGTGGCCCTGCTTTTGACTGATGAGATAGGATTGTTGTTGCTGTTGTTGTGCTTTCCAGTCATTTCAGATTTAAATTGACCCTGAGCGAGGGCCGGGTAAATGACCTTGGAGGGCCACATCTGGCCCTCGGGCCTTTGTTTGAGAACCCCTGAACTAGATCCTTGGATCTTGACAGTAATTAAAAGTATAACCTATGACTGATATCAGCTCACACTATACTTACACAAGAATGGAAAATGCCTGCTTCAGCAGAAGCAAGAAAGACAAGGTCACAGTCCCTCAAACTGTTGGAGGGCTGGATTATAATTTGAAAAAAGCATGAATGAATTCTTATGCACACTGCACATATCTTATTTGTAGTGCAAAAAACACTTGAAACAATACAATAATTAAAATGAAGAACAATTTAAACAAATATAATTTTATTAGTATTTCAATGGGAAGTGTGGCCCTGCTTTTGACTGATGAGATAGGATTGTTGTTGCTGTTGTTGTGCTTTCCAGTCATTTCAGATTTAAATTGACCCTGAGCGAGGGCCGGGTAAATGACCTTGGAGGGCCGCATCTGGCCCTCGGGCCTTCGTTTGAGGACCCCTGAACTAGACCCTTGGATCTTGACAGTAATTAAAAGTATAACCTATGACTGATATCAGCTCACACTATACTTACACACGAATGGGAAATGTCTGCTTCAGCAGAAGCAAGAAAGACCAAGATTTTATGTTGGAGCTATTATTATTATCATCATCATCATCATCATTATTTATAGCCTGCTTTTTCTCTCTAAAGAAGAGACTCAAAGCATCTTACAGTAAAAGCAACACTGTTGGGGTTCAGCCTGAGTTTGAACCTGATTCTCTGTTTGTACCTCCCGATGCTGATGAAAATGTATTTACTGATGCTAATGAAAATGTACTTCCTGATGCTAATGAAAATGTACTTCTTGATGTCAATGATCCTGAAATTAGTGAGGAAGAAACTTCTGTAGATTTGGAAAATGAAAGTACCAGTGTTCATGAGAATGTTTCAGAGGGAAGCCATGACCTTTCACTCCCTTCTGCACCTGGGAACCTTAATGAGAATAGAAGGGGCCAGATCTGGCAAGACAGGAGTGAACCACTCAGCTTGCGAAGGTCTTCCAGATTAAAAGAAAAACAAACAAGGGCTTCAAAGCAGGGAGGCGTATCACAAAACCAATTCCTCTACTTTAAGTGCCTTCCGCCGGGCTGACTTTCTCAGTTCAGGCATCGTTTTAGATTGATGAAGACCTTGGCAGTTCTCCCGGTTCCTCTGGCCATCGTCTTGAGAGATTTCTAGGACACCAAGTACGGTTAGTGGATTGCTAACAGATTCCAGTATTTTACAGTGTGGCTTTGGGTTTTTGATCTTGTTCATGGACATTCATGTTTGCTGATTTTGCTGTGGCTTTTGACTTTGCATTTTTCCTTTATTTTGTAACCATTTTTCATCAATAAAAAAGGATTGTTTTTTCCCAGTCAAGTGTGGTGGATAGTTATCTTAGGGCCTCGTTTTCTGCTCTGGGTTGCAACAAACACAATACAATTTAAACCTAATATCAAAATAGAATTAAATATTAACGGAATTAAACGGTTAAAATTCTTAAAACCCGATTACATATAATGGCATGCCTTTGTCAGAAATATTAAAAATTAACTAGGTATTTTTAATTGCAAAGATGTGAGTCTAGCACTGAAAGAGATGGGTTGAGGCCTGTTAAGAGTCAGCGGCCCAAAGCTGAAGCCTGTTAGTAGGCCAAAGCTGGTGTCATCCTGAGGAGTGTGAGGTGAACCTCTGTGTGAGAGTAGCCTTGTGTGAGAAAGCTCCAGTGTGAAGGCTGCTGCATCTAAAGCTACTATCTATTTGGGGTGTTTTAGATTTTTTCGGGCTAAATGGCCATGTTCTAGAGGCATTCTCTCCTGACGTTTTGCCTGCATCTATGGCAAGCATCCTCAGAGGTAGTGAGGCTGCTTGCCATAGATGCAGGCGAAACGTCAGGAGAGAATGCCTCTAGAATATGGCCATTAGCCCGAAAAAATCTACAAAACCCAGTGATTCCGGCCATTAAAGCCTTCGATAATACTATCTATTTGTTTATTTGTGTTATGGAAACCTAGTTCTTGTAAATAGTGCAACATTATTGTTTTGCTATAGTGAAGGGGCTCCTGTGGAAGAGATGGTATTGTCTGTGTGTTTTTGCTCTCTTTGTCACTTTGGGCTACTGGTGCTGGCTTGTGCTGCTGCAAATAAGTTGCTCTGCTGTGCATTTGTGAGGAGGGTATTTTTTTAATAAGCCCGCTCACCCAACAGCCTTCAAGACATTTCTGACTTACCGCAACCCCAAGACAATCCTATCCTGTGTTTTTAATATTATCTTCTTTATATAAGAAGGCAAAATCTATATAAATAAAAATGTAATGTTCGTTTGTGGGATTAACATAGCTCAAAAATCACTGGATGAATTGACACCAAATATGGACACAAGACACCTATGAGGCCAACAAGTGACCATCACTCATAAAAACACTGAAAAACACAGCAGAAGGGACTTAAAAAGCCAAACCCTTACAATGCATGCGCAAAACCACATACAAAACACATATACACAGACTGGGCCACAGCAATGCATGGCAGGGTACGGCTTGTCCTTTATATAGGATTTCTTCGTAGGTTTGCCTTTGCCTTCCTCTGAGGCTAAGAAAGTGTGCTTTGTCTGAAGTCACGCAGTGATTTCCATGGCTAAATGAATTCAAACATGGGTCTTCAGGCTGCAGTTACAGTGTAGAATTAATGCAGTTTGACATCCCTTTAACTGCCATGACCCTTACTCCGGGAATCATGGGAGTTGTAGTTTTGCAAGGTCTGTATCCATTTCTACCAAAGAGTGCTGATGCCCCATCAAAGTAATGGCAGTTAAAGTGATGTCAAACTGCATGAATTCTAAGGTCTTGATGCACTCTCAGTCCAGTGACAAACCACTACATCATACTGGCTCTCTCATGCTATTATCTTTTCTCTTGATAAGTCTTTCTGACTTTTCATTGACAAACATTTTCAAATACAGTGTTCCCTCGCTACTTCGCGGTTCGCTTTTCGCAGACTCGCTGTTTTGTTTCGCGGGTTTTTGCCTCCTGGCAGTGATGAAGTGTGGAAGGGGGTTTCATCCTCCCCCTCGGGAGAGAGGCAGCCAATCATTAAAAAAGAGAGAGAGGAGATACAAAGCAGTATGTAAATCACAGCCTTATAGCCCCTTCATTATAGCTAGCAAAAAAAGTGTGCGGTGCCTTAAAATCTCTCCTTGCCTCTGCCTCACCCTCAGAATGCAATATTGTCATATGTTCCATAGTTGATGGTGGTTGGTGGTGGTAGACCTGGCAGTTGTGATGGAAATGTTAATGTAAGTCTTGGTTCTAAAGGGCTGAGTAGTTTCTAAGTAACCGTTTACAGGAAAAAGCAATTAAGGGTGGAGGTATGCAGGGGATAGGTTGCAGCTGGGTGTTACTGGATTTAAGGAGCTAACATTGGGACTGATCTTTGGGAGAAAAGTATTGTCATACTTTGGTGGTGGATGCTGCTGGTTTCCCCCCCAGGTCTGTTGGATTTTTGGTATCCTTACCTGTCTCCTGTAATCTTGGAACCCTGGAACCTTGAACCTTTGGACTGGCTTTTGACTAGATATAGACTCTTGATCCCTGGACTTTGTTTATTGAACTCTTGGCATTTGACCACTGGGCTGGACCCTTTGACTACGGTGTAGCTTTTGTTATCAGTTTTTGTTTATTCTGTGGCTGAGTGCTATCTTTGTGTTTTGTATTTTGGTCTATTAAAACAGTCAGCAAGTAAGTGCTGTTTTAATTAAACTGTTTGATAAAACTGGGAGTTTGGTTCAACTCTACCTAAATAAGGCAGAGCCTTGGCAACGTGACAGATATAATAATAATAATAATAATATTAATAATAATAATAATAATAATAACAATAATAATAATAATAATAAACTTTATTTATCACCTGCCATCATCTCCTCAGAGGGGACTTGGGGCGGCTAACATGAGGCCAAGCCCAAAATAATACAACATGATTAAACACAAGATAGACAAGAAAATAAATCATAGCAAAATATATAAAATACCAAATGCAGGAAACAATATAAAATAACATAATAAAACCAAACACAGAGAGCAGGCCAGATATAGCGTCCCTACTAAACAGATTTTCACTTTTCATGGGTGGTCTGGAGCATTGCACCTGAGGTAAGTGAGAGAACATTGTACGGCTAAAATCGGTTAAAAGAATCTCATCTGTAATTGTGCGGAGTGAATGTCCACTGGACTAGTTTTCCCAATAATACACAAGTCTTCCTTACTTTTGAAGGTTGGCCAGACTGACAAAGACATTTGGGTGGGAAAGCTGGTTGTCGTCCAAGAGCAAGACTTCCAGAGCTGGGAACCTTGGAGATTCTTCGCTGCTGATGGAAGGAGAAAACAGTATATGACCTCCTGAATCATTAAAGAAATTACAATGGGGTGAAAGGACTGTAGAAACCAGGGACAAAGAATGAAATGTCTACAGCAGAGCTGAGGAAGTCTGTCAAGGCTGAAGGCAACAAGCCCTATAGGCTACATTTGTGCAGTGGGGAGAGCTGCATAAAAAATAGGGCTAGCAAGAATATTTGTTACTATCCATTTCAATTTAGCCGGTATTGCACCACCTGACATCTGCCGGGAAGTAGCAGCCAATAGTGAAAGGACCAAGGCAGTGACATCTCCAGCTCATCCCCTGTTTGGGTATCAGCCAGCACGTCAACGACTCAAATCAAGAAATAGTTTTCTAAGATCTGCAGAGACACTCGCAGGAACACCTCAGCAAGCAGGAGTCCAAAAGTGGCAGGCTCAAACCCAGAACCTCAATCCATACCAAATAAGAGACTCCCCCCTGGGCACACAGAGGACTGGGCGACTTGGAAGGCGCTGAACAGACTGCGCTCTGGCACCACGAGATGCAGAGCCAACCTTGAGAAATGGGGCCACAAAGTGGAATCCATGACATGGGAGTGTAAAGAAGGGCAAACCACTGACCACCTGCTGCAATGCAACCTGAGCTCTGCCACATACACAATGGAGGACCTTCTTGCGGCAACACCAGAGGCACTCCAAGTGGCCAGATACTGGTCAAAGGACATTTAATAGAATACCAAGTCTGCAAGTTTTGTGTTTTGTTTGTTTGTTTGTCTGTTTTTTAATGCAATACAACTGGTTTGGTTTGCTGAATATTGAAATAATCCATTTCAATGTTCAGACTTCCCTCCACATTTGCAGGCTTGACTTTTGCAAGTTGGATGATTCACATATTTGATTAAAATGTTCTCCCTATGAATCTGTAAGTTCTGCAGTGCAACATCATCATAGCCATTGTTATTGTTGTTGTTATCATCTTTATTTATATTTATATCATCTTTCTCCCTGTAGGGACTAAAGGCGGCTAACAACCAATGCAATTTTCCTGCTTCTTGGCAGAGGGTTGGACTGGATGGCCCATGAGGTCTCTTCCAACTCTATGATTCTATGATTTAACTTTATGGTCAACTTCAACTGGAACAAATCAAGCTGAAAGGCCTAGACAGAACACCTCTCCAGGAATATCTAAATCCTCCGACATGATTCTATTAGTTTCATTTCTATATTGCTTTTCTTCCTAAGGACATAAAAGAAATATGGGACTCTCCTCCTCTCTAACTTCACAACAACTTTGTGAATAGATCAAGCTGAAGGAGAGAGCCTTGGACTCAGAATGACTTCAAACTACAAGAGAGGAGATTCCATCTGAACATGAGGAAGAACTTCCTGACTGTGCGAGCCGTTCAGCAGTGGAACTCTCTGCCCCGGAGTGTGGTGGAGGCTCCTTCTTTGGAGGCTTTTAAACAGGGGCTGGATGGCCATCTGTCAGGGGTGATTTGAATGCAATATTCCTGCTTCTTGGCAGAATGGGGTTGGACTGGATGGCCCAGGAGGTCTCTTCCAACTCTTGGATTCTAGGATTCTATGTTTCATGGCTTGTTGAGAAACTCCCAAATCCAAAAATCGAACTATGACAGTATCACTTTCATTTCCCTGTAGCTTTCTTTTACCTCTCAGGAACAGCCAGGTCGAGTGGAAGTGCCGTCAGCCCATTGGCAGTGAGATGGAGAACTTTAAGGTGGGACAAAACCCCCAAGACTCGGACATCCTCAGGAGAGAGGTTGTTGTAGGACAGGTCCAAAACCTGGAGTGGAGAAAAGGCATAGAATTCCAGGGCAAGGAGATAGAAAAACAGCACACACACACACACACAATATAGTAACGATACTATCTGCTTGGACCACACTCTGATGTGATGGGAAGTCCTTCCTCCAGCTGACCTGGGGCAATGGGTTTTGGATCTCCAGGTGTTTGGGATTCCTTGAGTAGCTTCAACCGCTACTCCCACAGCCATGCTCTTGGGCAGTGGTTCTCAACCTAAGGGTCCCCAGATGTTTTGGCCTTCAACTCCCAGAAGTCCTAACAGCCTGTAAACTGACAGGTATTTCTGGGAGTTGTAGGTCAAAACACCTGGGGACCCACAGGTTGAGAACCACTGTTCTTGGACAACCCAAGTGGGCAAATTCAAACAGCAGGAAAAGAGATTCCACACAAATATTAGGGGAAATTTCCTGATGGTAAGAGTGAATTGACATTGGAATATGCTTCTGCGTGGGAGTCTGGTGGAATCTCCTTCTCTAGAATGGTCTAGTGGAATCTCCTTCGTCTTTAAACGAAGGCTGGATGGCCATCCATCAGGAGGCCACAATCAGAGGGGTGGACAGGATGGCCCTGGGGGTCTCTTCCAACTCTATGATGGGGCGAGATATTGGTATAAAGGCTCTCTCTTGAGCCCTTCCCCTCCAGTCTATGGGAGGGAAGAAGGCAAGATATGAATGAGATGGAATGGGGGAGAAGGTATCATTCTACATAGCGAACAGGAAAAGTCAATTTTTCTCAAAACTCAATGTAGGTTTCATTTAGGTCCTCTGAAAGCTCCATTCAGTTCCCAACGTCACTTTTGATCTTACTTCCAAGTGAGGGAAGTCCCCAGCGTTGATTTTAAGATTTCTCAAGCCGTTCAAGGAAAGTTCCAGTTCCCGTAGCTCAGGAAATGTGCAAAAAACATCTTTTATTTTTCAAAGAAAAGAAAAGAAAAGATGTGTCAGTCGGATAGATCACTATAGGTAAAGGTAGTCCCCTGACATTAAGTCCAGTCATGTCTGACTCTGGGGTGGTGGTGCTCATCTCCATTTCTAAGCCGAAGAGCCGGCGTTGTCTGTAGACACCTCCAAGGTCATGTGGCTGGCATGACTGCATGGAGCGCCGTTACCTTCCCGCCGGAGCGGTACCTATTGATCTACTCACATTTTAATGTTTTCAAACTGCTAGGTTGGCAGAAGCTAGGGCTGACATCGGAAGCTCATGCTGCTTTCCAGAATCGAACCTGCGACCTTTCGGTCAACAAGCTCAGCAGCTCAGCGCTTTAATCCACTGTGCCACTGGGGGCATAGATCACTATAGAGGTTGAAAATCTCTTATCAAGAATTCCAAAATCCAAAATTGCCCACTTGGATGGCTGCAAAAATAACACTGTTACTTTATGAGGATTTGGGGTATGCAAACTTTGTTTCATGGGCTGCCGATTCCCAGTCCCAGGGTAATGAGTTATTCGACCTTGAAGGCTCTGCAGATTTAGATAGGGAGGATCGCTTGCAATTCAGGGTTCACCACAGTGCAAGGCTTGTTAACAAGAGAGAGGTTAGAGGTCAAAGGAATGCTTTCATGCTGGGAAGGCATATTAAACGAGCTGTTTGAAGTCAACTCTTTGTCAGTGCAACTTCTGCAAACACCCTGGTAACTTCTCTGGATTGCCTTGGCTTTTGGGCAATGCTCTTGGCTTCTTGGGACTTTGACGTGTTCTTGGCTCCTTGGGACTCTGTCATGCTGCCATGGAATCTTGTTTGACTAATGCCTTCAGATTATGCTTCATGTTGTTTGCCATTGAACTTTGGAAACATTGCCTTTGCATTTAAGACTCTGCTTTTGCCATTGAACTTTTGAAACCTTACTTCTATGTTAAAGGCTTTGCTTTTTCTTCAATAAACTACAAAACCTTCTGTCTTGGTGTGGTGTGGTGCTTTGAGCAAGGTGAACCTATCCTGAGTTGCGACAGTCTAAATATTACTCCGGATGCTAAGTTAGCATTACTAATGGACATCACGAAGTTGAATTTATAAATGGAAAAAAGTACTGGTGATTATTTTACTCACAGTGTCAAGAATTATAATCGCAAGGAATTGGAAAATAGTAACTAATCTAACACCGGAAACATGGTATAGGGAGGTATGGAACGTAGCCTTAAATGATAAAGTATCAATGGAAATGAGGGTTTTCAGGGGGGAAACTAATAGATCAGATTTTGAGGCATACTGGTCTGTCTTTATTAAATATGCTTTAGAGAGTGAAAATGGAAAATAATACAATCTTGTTTGTCAGAATTTTTGATATGACATTTGGTTAATGGTTGATTTATATATATATATATGGCAAAGGAAAGGATACTTGTTCAGGCCTTGGTGGTGGGGCTAAGTGTTTCCAAAATGTTCACTGTTTTGTGTTTTGTTTACACTGTAAGTTGTTAATGTATGTAAATAAAATATTTACCTAAAAGGTCGTGAAAAAAATAGATTAAAAGCATTACAACTATAAAACAACATACCGTATATACTCGAGTATAAGCCGACCCAAATATAAGCCGAGGCACCTAATTTTACCACAAAAAACTGAGAAAACATATTGACTCGAGTATAAGCCGAGGGTGGGAAATGCAACTGCTACTGGTAAATTTCAAAATAAAAATAGATACCAATAAAATTACATTAATTGAGGCATCAGGAGGTGAAATGTTTTTGAACATTTACAAAAAACTGTAATTTGAGATAAGACTGCCCAACTCTGATTAAATCATTATTCTAACCTTCTTCAATTTAAATGTACTTATGAATCCTTCCAGCAATAATAAAGAGAGTAAAATAATAAATGTAATAATAATAATAATAATATAAAGTAAAATAATGGAAATGCAATAAATAACAGTAATAATAGAGTAAACTAATAAGTAAAATAATAAAGTAAAATAATAAATGTAATCATAATCATAAATAGTGTAAAATAATAAATGTAATAATAATAATAATAATAGGGTAAAATACTGTAAATGTAATAATAGGTTGATGTAGGTTTTTTCGGGCTATATGGCCATGTTCTAGAGGCATTCTCTCCTGACGTTTCGCCTGCATCTATGGCAAGCATCCTCAGAGGTAGTGAGTATGCTTGCCATAGATGCAGGCGAAACGTCAGGAGAGAATGCCTCTAGAACATGGCCATATAGCCCGAAAAAACCTACAACAACCCAGTGATTCCGGCCATGAAAGCCTTCGACAATACAGTGTAAGAATAATAAAGAGAGTAAAATAACACATGAAATAAAAATAATACTAATAACAGAGTAAAATAATAAATAACCTTGACTCGAGTATAAGCCGAGGGGAGCTTTTTCAGCCTAAAAAAGGGGCTGAAAAACTAGGCTTATACTCGAGTATATACATCATCAAAGCTTAAGCCAACCAAGCACTGGGCATTCCTTACCTAGGGTCAGAAGGTTCTCTGTGGCATTGATATAGGCAACAGAGGTAAACTGCTCAAAGTCCTCTTCTTTTGCCTGTAGAAATGATAAAGAGAAGTCAAAAAGTGCATCCTGAACGCTGAATGCAGCCACCTCTGGGTACAATGATTTTTTTGTCTCAATGCTCCTAAAATTGCCTTAAAATTATGAAAATAAATGAGTCCCACATTGACGTTGGAGGGCCAACCTCCTGCTCTGCACCCCAAATGCCACCCCCTAATGTCTGTTACTTTGAATGGGGTGGCTAGTGCTTGTTGGGCCATTTAGATGGTCACCATCCCAGCTAATCTTCTTGGTGCTGCTACAACTTCATCTGATACCCAAAAAGGCCAATCCATCCATAAAACGTGAGCCCTCACCGAAGTAAAATTCCGGTTGCTGATGTCCACTGAGCATAGATCTGTAGGGCTTTTCACATAATGGAGTTGAATCTGGAAATAAAAAAGACAGAAGGACTGGGGTGTACATATGGCAAAGTGGGTAAGGCATTCTTGACATTGTTCCCTCCTGCCGAAATGACGTTTTCTTCAACTTTCTAGAATTGCAATACCAGAGGCTGTCCACGTTTGCAGGCACAGGATCCCCACAAAAGTGGACCAAAACCCTCTGAGTTACATAGATCTAAACAGAGGAAAAACAAATCCCTATTGCTCTGTATACAAGTGTAGTTGGGGGAATAGATTAAAACCAATTAGAACCTTCTCAAACTTCCTCTATATGATATTTGTCTGTTTTATTAATGTGTCATTTTAAACCTCAGATATATGTCTTATTTGATTTGCAGTTTCCTTTTCTCTATATACCTAAAGCAGTGGGAGGGCCTGCAGGTCACGTGACTAATTCAGTGACAGTTTAGAATGTTCAGTAGGCATGTGCGATCTATGGTTCAAAGTGGTTCTAAACTACTTTGATTCTAAAGTGTTTCTAAAGCTGGTGCTTTGCTTCTAAAATGTTTCTAAAGCTGGTGCTTTGCTTCTAAAGTGTTTCTAAAGCTGGTGCTTTGCTTCAAAAGTGTTTCTAAAGCTGGTGCTTTGCTTCTAAAGTGTTTCTAAAGCTGGTGCTTTGCTTTTAAAGTGTTTCTAAAGATGGGGCTTTGCTTCTGAAGTGTTTCTCAAGCTGGGGCTTTGCTTCTAAAGTGTTTCTAAAGCTGGGGCTTTGCTTCTAAAGTGTTTCTAAAGCTGATGCTTTGCTTCTAAAGTGTTTCCAAATCTGGTGCTTTGCTTCTAAAATGTTTCTAAAGCTGGTGCTTTGCTTTTAAAGTGTTTCTAAAGCTGGTGCTTTGCTTCTAAAATGTTTCTAAAGCTGGTGCTTTGCTTTTAAAGTGTTTCTAAAGCTGGGGCTTTGCTTCTAAAGTGTTTCTAAAGCTGGGGCTTTGCTTCTAAAGTGTTTCTAAAGCTGGGGCTTTGCTTCTAAACAAGCTTTGTTGAAGGATTAGAAACCAATTATGGATTTTTTGAGCAAAAAGAAGTCTAATGGTATAATATACAGCTATTAGTAATTTTTAGGCATGTGCGATCCATGGTTCTAAATGGTTCTAAACTACATACAAAACTAGGGGGCGCTGGTGTATTGCTTCTAAAGTGTTTCTAAGGCTGGTGCTTTGCTTCTAAAGTGTTTCTAAAGCTGGGGCTTCGCTTCTAAAGTGTTTCTAAAGCTGTGCTTTGCTTCTAAAGTGTTTCTAAAGCTGGGGCTTTGCTTCTAAAGTGTTTCTAAAGCTGGGGCTTCGCTTCTAAAGTGTTTCTAAAGCTGTGCTTTGCTTCTAAAGTATTTCTAAAGCTGGGGCTTTGCTTCTAACGTGTTTCTAAAGCTGGGGCTTTGCTTCTAAAGTGTTTCCAAAGCTGGGGCTTTGCTTCTAAAGTGTTTCTAAAGCTGGGGCTTTGCTTCTAAAGTGTTTCCAAAGCTGGGGCTTTGCTTCTAAAGTGTTTCTAAAGCTGGTGCTTTGATTCCAAAGTGTTTCTAAAGCTGGTGCTGAAAATTTCAGAACTCTAACAAAACTTTCAAAATTTCATTATTATGTCGTTAATGGCGATTTTTATGACAGAACCTATTAGGAACTGCCATTTATAATGAAATTTTGCAAGTTTTGTTAGAGTTCTGAAATTTTCACCACCAGAACTTTAGAAACACTTTAGAAGCAAAGCACCAGCACCCCCTAGTTTTTTAAGTAGTTTAGAACCATGAGTCGCACATGCCTAATGTTCAGGTCTAAACAGGATGACAGCTAGGGAATGTCTGTTGATGAATGACTGTTAGAGAAATGTGCTGAGTTTTTTGAATGAGCTTGAGTATAGAAATCAGAGTGAAGAAACTCATGTTAGGAAGTTAGGAACTATTGAGGTTTGTGTTTTATTTGGAAGTAAACTCTTATTAAAGAGAGCTGTAGAAAGCAACATAGTTTATGAAGAAACTGTTATTAACCCTTGACAAGAAGTGTGCCTGTATCTTTAAATACATGGAGTTATCAGTAAACAAAGCTTGTTATCTTCAAAAGAAGTCTGCTTGCCTCATTGTCTGCTGAAAGCATCAAACAGAAGCAAAATATCTACATGTCCAGCAATCATCCATTACCAAATAAACTCTGTTACCCTGATTAGGTTGTGATCCTATCAGTTCATGATCTATACCCTGATGCTCAGTGATCCTAATAGGTCATGAGCCATTATCCCCGAAAAATGTTGATGCTTCTTCACTTACTGCACCAACATGACCAGATTAGAAAGAGTGAAGCTTCCCCAACACAGGTATTTATTTATTTATTTGGAGTGCTTCTACCCCGCCCTTCTCAACCCCCTAGGGGGGACTCAGGGCGGCTTACAAAAAGGCACAATTTGATGCCTAACAATTCACAAAGTACAATATACAATTTACAATTTAACATCAATGATTATAACTAGTTAAAACAATCACATCAATACAATAGCAGTAATAAAATCATCCTGTGGTCAACGTTCGCCGATTTATAATTCCATAATCCATCCAGCATTGTCACTGTCCTTTCCTGCTCTGGTCGTCCTTGTCTTTGTCCATTTGCCAGCTTACCCAAAGGCCTGGTCCCAAATCCAGGTATTTGACTTCCTCCTGAAGGAGAGGAGGGATGTTGATGACCTAATTTCCCCGGGGAGTGCAATCCACAGGCGAGGGGCCACCACCGAGAAGGCCCTGTCCCTCGTCCCCACCAGTATTTAACTCCATAACCTGGTTCTATTGGGACATGAGATGGGGCATATTTGTGCCCAGCTTATCTATCCAAACGCATCTCTCCCTATGAACCCTCCAGGAACTTGAGATTCTCTGAGGAGGCCCTGCTCTCGATCCCGCCTGCTTCACAAGCATGTTTGGCGGGGACGAGAGACAGGGCCTTCTCTGTGGTGGTCCCTCAGCTGTGTAACTCCCTGCCTAGGAATATTAGATTGGCCCCCTCCCTCCTGACCTTTCAAAAAAGAGTGAAAACCTGGCTCTTTGAGCAAACGTTTGGAACCACAGCATGACCAGAAAAACTCAAATCGGAAAATGAACTAGGAATGGCTAAGACGATGGAACAGTTGAGGATTTCAACAAGAAGACATAGTTTTTATAATTTTTATTATTCATTGCATTTATGGTGTTTAAATGTATGTTTTGTGATGTTTTTGCTTTTTATTAATGTATGTATTTTTATATATGGCATCTAATTGTTGCCAATTTGTACGACACCCTGAGTCGCCTTCAGGCTGATATGGGCGGGATACAAATGTTGTAAATAAATAAATTTAGTTTCCTTCAGTTCTCCCCTACAATCCAACTCCCAGTTGCTTTGTGTGAGTGAGTGCCCCCCCAGCCCCACTGAAAAATGTGTGGAGCAAGTGCAATTTCTGAGGCAATAATAATTCCACATTGTGGGTGCCACTACACTGAAGGTCCTGTTCTAAAAGACATAGAGAGCTGGCCGCAGATGTATATGGAATAACCAAATGCAAAGCTCCAATGACATCAAGGATGAAATGTGTTTATGAGGGAGATTGCTCAGGGATCCCTGGCTCTCAAGGCGATGCACTCACCAGTTGGGTGCGGTCTAGGGTTTTCTCATTGAGATGCTGGAGGTCTCCTCTCAGTACTTCTCCCTCTTGCCATTTGATCTGGGTGGACCTTCTGCCAAAGAGCAATTTGATCCTGGTTTCCTCTGCTGTCCGGCGCGCCACCTGCCAGTGACCCACTCCTAAAACAATGAATGCAAAAACCAACACGGTTGACATTAGAGAATAAAAAATACTTGTCAGTTTGTCCCATTCGGCTCTCATTTACACAACCCTGAGACAAGGATAGGAAAAGAACCAAGAACTGGATAAGGCACACAGTGCAACTTGAAGGAAAACTAACAGCTCAGCCAGACTGCCTCAAAGGTTGAGAGCTTCCCATTCTTTGTTGTTGTTGTTGTTTTGTTCAGTCGCTTCTGACTCTTCATGACCTCCTGGACCAGCCCACGACAGAGCTCCCTGTTGGCCGTGGCCACTCCCAGCTCCTTCAAGGTCAACCTGGTCCCTTCTAGGATACCATTCATCCATCTTGTCCTTGGTCGGACCCTCTTCCTTTTTCCTTCCATTTTCCCCAGCATCATTTTCTTATTCAAGCTTTCCTGTCTTTTCATGATGTGGCCAAAGTACTTCATCGTTGTCAGAATAGCGTTAGTAGCTTGCAGAAAGTCTCAGCCCCTTTTATTCTTGGTGTGATAAAAACTCAAAAAAGCCCTGAAAATGAGAGGTCTGTGTCTGAAGGCCACGTTCCTTAAAGGCAGTTCGCTAGGGAAGGAAGGAAGGTCATAAACAGATCTGAGCTCAGAGGATGAAAATAAAAGTCTAGGTGGACAGACTAATGAGCAGTTAGATAGGAGATTTACGTTCAGTCAACATAGGGCTTCTCAGGACAGTGTACGAAGGTCAAGATAATTTTTAGCTAAAAAGTCCTTATCAGTTTCCCAGAGGAGAAGGCATGATTTTATCGCTATATTAACTAGACCAGCAGATGGGCTGTTAGCCCAGGTAATGTTGGTGTTGAGTATAGATCCATGGTCAAGTCAAGGGATTTATAGTTCCATGTTTCCTTTTGTTCATGTCTCATGATTCGAAGTTTTGAAGACTGTTCCTGGATCTCATGATTTGGATTTATTCTGCTTTTGTATTCCGGATTTTTGATGCTACTCCTGTAATTTGATTTCCTGATTATTTCTTTGATTATTCCTGATATTTGGACTTTTGTTTTTTTATACTGTTTTGCTTAATTGTTTTTTTTATATATATATATTCTGCAATAAACCGCTTTGCTATTATACCTTGGATTGGAGTGTGTGAAGTACAGAGGTGGTTCCCAGCCTTGGAGTGCAACATATTCAGTAAATGCAAGATCCGTTTGGCTGGGATAATCAATGGAAAAATCAGAAGAAATAACGGAATCCTATTACCCAGGGGTTTGTTGTTCAAATGGTTTGTGGGTTTGTTTATTTATTTATCGTGTCAGGAGCAACCAGACCATTGTATTACATTTTTAACAAAACAAACAGACAAAACACAAAGTTTGCAAGCTTGGTAGTTGATTAAATGTCCTTTGACCAGTATCTGGCCACTTGGAGTGCCTCTGGTGTTGAGCAGTAATGGCACGATCATCAGCATAGATGAAGCTCTCTGTCCCTTCTGGCAGTGGCTGGTCATTTGTGTAGATGTTGAACACGGATGGAGCAAGCACGCTCCCGAGGCAGGCCGTTCTTCTGTTTCCACCATTTGCTTCTCTGGCCCTGGAACTCAACAAAAAAGCTCCTGTTTTGTAGCAGGTTTCCTATGAGGCGGGTGAGGTGGTGGTCCAGTTTGTGGACCCAGGAGCAGCTGGGCATACAAGCCAATATAACAGGCATCGGCAAACTTCGGCCCTCCCTCCAGGTGTTTTGGACTTCAACTCTCCCAATTCCTAACAGCCTACCTGGAGGGCCAAAGTTTTCCCATGCCTACTTCATAAGGATGATTCTGTAAAGCTCTTCAGTTCTGACTAAAGAATGCTATGTTTGAGGACAAACAGATTACCAGAATCCCCAATACTAATCGACTCATATAGGATATATGATCCTTGAAAGAAGCACTGCTGAAGCTTATTTATTGATTTATTTACCAAATGTATACTCTGTCCTTCTCAACCCCAGAGTGGCCTTACAATAGGCAAGATTCGATGCCTTATCAAACAGACAATAAAATAAACATATACAGTAAAATAATAAAAAAATGATAAAAATATTAAAACCAATTAATTAAAAACCACACAATCCACTGCCAGCAAGAACTGGGGGAAGAGAAGCAATGAGTTGCAACGACTATTGTGCTTCATGTCATATTACAGAGCTCCTATCAGCAAAGAGGTAGAATACATCACCTTCCTCATATCTTGGCCGCAAAAGATTTCTGGCTGGGAAGCAGTTGGTTGGGAAAGGGTCCCCATCGTCCAGTTTATATACTCCCTTGGTAGCCATCTTATCATTCCGTCCCTTCAAGAGAACAAATAAATCAAATAAGTCATCATTTCCTCCAATAGCAAAAGCAGGATGGATAAACCAAAGCCAGATCCTGCAACTCACTATACAAACGCTAACAAACAACAACAGATACTCCAGTTCAGAAATAGAATTTAGATCTTCAAAAGGACACTTTGCACACCTTTGACAAGAATCACCATGTAAATGCAATTATGATTCTAAAATTCAAGCTGTACAAAAAACACATACCCATGTTAACATTTCAAGATAATAACAGAACAGTCTGCGATGTTTCTAGAGGGAGAGGGAAAATGGGGTGAGTGGGATTGGCGATCCCCAAAATCTAATTTTAGAAGTGCATTAATAATAATAATAATAATAACTAGCTGTCCCCTGCCAGGCGTTGCTGTGGCCCAGTCTGGTGATCTGGAAAATAAAGTAATGAGAAAGTGTTGGTTTCTAATATATGTAATTTCTTTCTGCTTGTGAGTAAACAGTATTTCTTGCTGTTTCTTTGCCAGTGTAGATGTGGAGATTGTCTGGTTTGCCTTCTCCAGAACATGCAACATATCATTGTCCTTCTTTGGGGTCCCCTTTCAAATCTTTGATACTGCATCTATCATATACATATATGTGTGTGTGTGAATGGCTGAATGACCCTTTGTCAGGAGGGCTTTATGTTTTTTTGACCTTGTGAAGGGAGTTGGACTGGGTGGCCTTAAGGCAGCATTTCTCAACCTGGGAAGTCAAGAACCAGGGGGGAGGGTCACTAGGGGGGTGTCAGAAGCATCACCAAAGACCACGAGAAAGCACAGTATTTTCTGACGGTCATGGGGGTTCCGTGTGGGATGTTTGGCCCAATTCCATCGTTCGTGGGGTTCGGAATGCTCCTTGATTGTAGGTGAACTATAAATCCCAGTAACTACAACTTCCAAATCTCAATGTCTATTTCCCCCAAACTCCATCTATGTTCATATTTGGGCACATGGAATATTTGTGCCGAGTTTAGTCCAGATCCATCATTGTTTGAGTTCACAGTGCTCTCTAGATGTAGGTGAACTACAACTCCCAAACTCAAGGTGTTTGGGAGTTGTAGTCCACCAAACCCTTCTAGTGTTTTCTGTTGGTCAGGGGAGTCCTGTGTGCCAAGTTTGGTTCAATTCCATCATTGGTGGAGTTCAGAGTGCTCTTTGATTGTAGGTGAACTATAAATCCCAGCAACTACAACTCCCAAATGACAAAATTGTAATTTTTTGAGTGATGGTCACTCCTTGTGTTGTGAGATGTTTTGTTGCCAAATTTGGTGTGATTTCATTCATTTGTTCTTTTGTTTTTAAGGTACTCATTATGCACAGAGCATTTATATATAGATAGATAACAACAACAACAATAATAATTGAAAAACTTTATTTATATTCCACTCTTCTCCCCAAAGGGGCTCAGGGTGGATTCCAAACATAAAAGGCAAATGTATTGTCGAAGGCTTCCATGGCTGGAATCACTGGGTTGTTGTAGGCTTTCGGGCTATAGGGCCATGTTCTAGAAGCATTCTCTCCTGACGTTTCGCCTGCATCTATGGCAGGCATCCTCAGTTGATTTGCATTCCTTGTCTGAGTTTATTTATCCAACAAGATCTGGTTTGACCCATGAAGAGAAACCCAATGCTTGGCCAGGTAGCATGGCCTCTATGACACCACACAAAGGATGCTTTCCCATCATGCCTTGCACTCTTGGGGCTAGGCTGGGCACAACACACAGCAGCATGGGGCCTCGGCAGTGAAGGGACATCTGCAATGCGAGTGACGTATGGCGACGTGAGGGTCACAATCAAGCTGCAGCCATGCCATAAAATCTCGCAGCGATGCCTAGAGGAGGCAACCATGGCACCACCTTCACGGTGCATGAGCTCCGGGAAGAAAGTAAGAAAGGGGCCGGGGGTGTAATGCAAGGGGGATCATCACACCATTGGGAGCCAGTATATGGGCATCACTAAATGGGTCTTAGGAAGCATTTCAAACATTTTGTCATTTATCGATTGCACTACATAACACGATTTTTGTTCCCGAGTTATACATGTCATTTCCCAATTGGTTCTATCATAAAAACATGGGAAAACTCTATTAAACTGCCAAAACTTTGTTCTTGTGGGAGGGACATCCTACAATATGTTTTGTTCTAGTTTGCTAATGCTGTGAGTTTTCCAGGATGTATGGCCGTGTTCCAGTAGCAGTCTCTCCTGGCGTTTCGCCCACATCTATGGCAGGTATCCTCAGAGGTTGAGGGGTCTGTTGGAAACTTAGGCAAGTGAGGTTTATACGAGGGTTGAATGAAAAGTAATGCTTCCACCTTCCTTACTTGGATTTGGATGGGAATATTTTAATAAATCAAAGGCAGAAATAATCCTTAGAATGTGCTCTTTAACTACCACTATTACTTTTCCACACAATCACCAGACAATTGGATACATTTCTGCCAACGATGAACAAGTTTTCTGAAGCCGTCACAGAAGAAGTCGACACTCTATTTCCGCAACCAGCGTCTCACAGTTCACTCAACGTCTTCATCAGAATTATAATAATGTCCACACAGATCTTCTTTCATTATCGAGAACAGATGGAAGTCAAACAGTGTTAAATCTGGACTGTATAGAGGATGCCATACGGTGGTGAGATCCAGCCTCTGAAGTTCTGCTGTGTACCCAGCGTGCACAGATCTTCCGATAGCCAAGCAAAGCAATAATGTGACCCACATATTCTTGCGAAATGCCGATTATGCTTGAAATTTCTCTCTGAGTGATACGACAATCGTCCTGAATCAATCTCTCAACCTTTTGCTTGTGAAACTCGGTGGTTGCTGTCACAGGACGTCCAACTCTTTGTTTGTCACACAAGTCAGATGTTCCCACCTCAACATCTTTAAACTTTCTCGCTCAACAACACACAGTACTCACATCAACACCATCGCCATAAACAGCTTGCATTCTCTGATGAATCTCCTTTGGGGTGACACCTTCTGCTGTCAAGAATTCAATGACTGCACTTTGCTTAAGTCACATTAACCGACTGTCTGCGCAGGGTTCCATACTTTGCACTTTAACAACACAACCGTTCAATGCTAAGGCTTCCCACCAAAATGGAACTGTAGAGGAGAGTCTACTGAACAAGCCAGTACCTGCCAGATACCAGTACTGCCATCTGTTGAGGAGTTACATAGGTGGAGGCATTACTTTTCATTCAACCCTTGTATATCTGTGGAATGATGGTGGGAGAAAGAACTCTTGTCTGCTTGAGGCAGGTGTGAATGTTGCAACTGGCCACCTTGATTAGAATCAAATGGCCTTGCAGCTTCATAGCCTGGATGATTGCTGCTTATTTTGTTAATTTATTGACCTCTTGAGCGTCTGCTCAAAGGCACAAATGTAATAACAAAATGAGCTACATGAATCAGCTTCAAAGTCCGAAGCGGTACTTATCTTTATTGTGATAATTTACACTATATACAGGAGCTCTGTAATTCACGTCCGATCACACTGCCATACTTCGCATTCCAGCCCAAGTCAACAAATTAATAGAATCCTTTGTTGGGAGATGTTAGCTGGCCCTGACTGATTCTTGTCCGGTATTCCCCCGATTCTTGTCTGGTGTTCTAGTCCAACCCCTTCTGCCTTCATGCAGAAAAAATGCAATCCAAGCCCTCCCCACAGATGGCCATCCAGCCTCACAGACATCAGCAGGTTCATGGAGAAACAGCTATAGAATCATAGGACCTTAAGCTGGAAGGGACCTCTAAAGGCCATCCAGTCCAACCCCATTCTACCTTCACATAGGAAAAGCACAGTAAAAGCACCCCTGACAGATGATCATCCAGCCTTTGTTTAAAAGCCTCCACCACACTCCAAAGCAGAGAGCTGTTGAACAATTGTTACCGTCAGGAAGTTTTTTCTAATGTTCAGGTGGAATACTCTTGTCATTTGAACCCACTGCTCTACTGACCCCTTGGATCATTCCATCCAACCCGTTCTGCTAGGAAAGAAAGCACAATCCATGCCCTCCTATCCAGCTTCTTTTTTAAATCTCCAGAGATGTTTTTGTAGTAGACCACAAGCTGAACATGAGCCAAACAGTCTGATGTGGCAGCCAAAAAAAATCAATGCGTTCCTATTATTTATTTATAGTATTTATATTCCACCCTTCTCACCCCGCAGGGGACTCAGGATGGATCACAATGTACATATACATGGCAAACATTTAATGCCATAGACACACAACATATATAGACAGACACACAGAGGCTATTTAACATTCCAGCTTTTTCATGAGGGTATTCTGGCCACCAGGGGAGCTATCGCTTCACCATCCATTTGTGACACTGATGAAGCACTTCCTCATTCTTTGCATGCTTGCTGGAGATTTTTATGGCATCGTAAATTAGCTTCCCCACATAAGAAGTACCTAAATTTCCTACTTGACAGATGCAACTGTCTTTCGGGCTGCAAAGGTCGACAGCAAGCTACACAAATTGTTCAGAAGCTCACTTCGACCCAGGCTGTCTTTGAACTCATGACCTTTTGGTCAGTAGTGATCTTAATGCAGCTGACTCCCAGCCAGGTTGTGCTACAGTCCCGGTGAATCAACAGTTTAGTGTTCAGGTCATGGGAAGCAATAAACCCACTCTTTTCTGCTTTGGTCAGACCTCTCCTGGAATAATAGTCCTGTTGCAACTCAGAGTTGGCTTCACCTTGCTTCCAAACACCACCACACAAGAGCTGTAGTTTTATAGTTTATTGAGGAAAAAATCCAAGTCAAAAGAAAGAATAAGCATTGCAAAGTTCCAAAGATTAAGGTTAAATGCAGGATACAATTCCAAAGATCTTCAGGTAAAAGCAGGAGACATAATCCTATTGGCAAAGTTCAAGCCAGAGTCCCAGGTACAAGCAAGAAAACATTTGCTCCAAGAATCACAATGCAAGAAATCCCAAGCATACTGCTTTCCAGGCCAAGGTTATTCCATGAAGCTTTCAGGCTAATAAGTTACGTTGAACTGATGCTTTCAGAGTTTCCAGGAGGCCTAAATACCTTCCCAACATCAAAACATTAGGCTCTCAGCATCATAAAAGCATTGCGACGACCTTGCATCGAGCTAGCCTCCCGTCTGCTTGCCAGACGTGAACTGCGCCTGACCCAGAGATCAAGGTGAGCTTCTCGGGTCAAATCCTTATCTACAGTTTCAGTATAATTGTGGGAAGGCACCTGCTCGCTATTTCCTTCGTTAAATTCCTTTCTGGTGAAAACAGCTGTGTTGACATTGCACTGTCTGTGAGAGCCTCGGAAGCAGGCTCAGAGATTTGAGGCACAGACAAAGAGGCAGGAAGCTGAAACCCAACAGAAATCTGAATCCCATCATCCTCATTATCAGAAACTAGCTCAGCCACAACAAGTCCTGTGTCCAGTTCTGGACAGAACAATTCAAGGGTGTCCAAAGGAGGGAGACCAAAATGGCAAACGATCAAGAAACTATGAATCACTATGAGAAACAGCTAAGGGAGCTTGATATGATCAGCCTGGAGAACGAAAACGATGCCTATGCTCAAACATTTCTAAGGATGTCACATTGAGAAGTGGAAAGTTTGTTTCCCTTTCTCTGTATTTGCTTGTTAGTGCATTTGTCCTCTTTAGAGTGGCGGTGTACTCTTTTCTCATTAGGCTCCAATTAATTGCTTACTGGATTTTTGTTCTTTTAAAAGAGGAAGGATTCCAAACTACTTAAAGCAAAATTAATTGGAGGAGCCACCTTTTAATTGGGAAAAAGGGATTGTGCCTCTGGACAACCAAGGAGGACTAAGTAATTCAAGAAGCTCATTGCAAGGATAGCTGTTCTGACAGCTGAAACACTCTAGTTGCCAAATACTGCTACGGAAAACAGGTCAAGGAGATATACAGATTGCTATCATCATCATCATCATCATCATCATCATCATCATCATCTATCTCTTTCTATCTATATAAATAAAAATGTAATGTTCGTTTGTGGGATTAACAGAACTCAAAAACCACTGGACGAACTGATACCAAATTTGGACACAAGACACCTAACAACCCAATGTATGCCTTTCACTCAAAAAAATTAATTTTGTCATTTGGGAGTTGTAGTTGCTGGGATGTATAGTTCACCTAAAATCAAAGAGCATTCTGAACTCCACCAACGATGGGATTGAACCAAACTTGGCGCACAGTTCTCCCATGACCAACAGAAAATACTGGAAGGGTTTGGTGGGCAGTGTCCTTTCCTTTTGGAGTTGTAGTTCACCTACATCCAGAGATCACTGTGGACTCAAACAATGATGGATCTGGACCAAACTTGGCACTGATACTCAAAATGCCCAAATATGAACACAGAAAATAGAATCTTGACATTCGGGAGTTGTAGTTGCTGGGATTTATAGTTCATCTACAAGGTCATGTGGCCAGCATAACTGCATGGAGCATTGTTACCTTCCCACAGAAGCGGTATCTATTGATCTACCAACATTTGCATTTTTTTCAAACTGCTAGGTTGGCAAAAGCTGGGCCTAACAGGGGGAGTTCACCCTGCTTCCTGGATTCAAACCACCAACCTTTCTGTCAGCAAGTCCAGCAGCTCAGCAGTTTAACCCGCTGCGCCATGTGTATATTGTATATATGTATATATATATATATATATATATATATATATGTGTGTGTGTGTGTGTGTGTGTGTGTGTGTGTGTGTATACATTTGTGTGTGTATATATGTGTGTGCGTGTGCATATACTTTAAAGTGTGTGTGTGTATAAATATACTTTAAAATGTGTGTGTGTATATATAAATGTGTGTATATGTATATTAAAAGTGTGTATATATGTGTATGTGTGTATATATATGTGTGTGTGTATATAAATGTGTGTATATGTATATTAAACGTGTGTATATATTTATGTGTGTATGTATATACATTTGTGTGTGTATTTGTGTGTGTGTATACTTTAAAATGTGTGTATATATATTTATGTGTGTGTATATATATATATAAATATGTGCATATGTACCGGTATATTAAAAGTGTGTATATACATGTATGTGTGTTTGTGTGTATATGTGTGTGTATATATATATGTGTGCATGTGTATATACTTTAAAATGTGTGTGTGTTTGTGTATGTATGTATATATATTTGTGTGTGTGTATACATACTTTAAAATGTGTGTATATATATATGTGTGTGTGTATATATATGTGTGCATATGTATATTAAAAGTGTGTATATACATGTATATATATATAGGTGTGTATGTGTATATATATGTGTGTGTGTATGTATATACATTGTGTGTGTATATATATGTGTGCGTGTGTATATACTTTAAAATGTGTGTGTTTGTGTATGTGTATATGTATATTAAAAGTGTGTATATATTTATGTGTGTGTATATATATATGTGTGTGTGTATATATATGTGTATATACTTTAAAATGTGTGCATATATATTTATGTATGTGTGTTGTTGTTGTTCATTCGTTCAGTCGTCTCCGACTCTTCGTGACCTCATGGACCAGCCCACGCCAGAGCTCCCTGTCGGCTGTCACCACCCCCAGCTCCTTCAAGGTCAGTCCAGTGTGTATATATATAAATGTGTGCATATATGTGTATGTATGTTTGTGTGTATATATATATGGGTGTGTGTATATACTTAAAATGTGTGTGTGTTTGTGTATGTGTGTGTGTGTATATATGTGTATATACTTTAAAATGTGTGCATATGTAAAGTGTGTATATACGTGTGTGTGTTTGTGTGTATATATATGGGTGTGTATGTGTGTTTGTGTGTATATATGTGTGTGTGTGTATATACATTGTGTGTATATATTTGTGTGCGTGTATATATACTTTAAATTGTGTGTGTCTTTGTGTATGTGTATATATGTGTGTGTGTGTGTATATTAAAAGTGTGTGTATATATATATATGTGTGTGTGTGTGTGTTCAAAAAGTGGGATAGATAAGAAATAACAAAGGATGCAGAGCAGGCCTGGGCCAACCTGTGTCCTCCTTTCAGGTGTTTTGGACTTCAACTCCCACAATTCCTAACAGCAGGTAGGGAGTTGGGGTCCAAAACACCTGGAGGGAGGGCCACCTGACCCTTCTCTTCCCTTCCTTCCTGTTTTCCTTTACCTGTGCTTCTTTCCCTCCTGGAGAGCCAGCTCTCCTCCCCCTTCTTCTCCTGCTTCCTTCTCAGCCTCTCCAGGTCCAACTCCAGCCTGCCCCGTAACCATAGCAACGCCTCTCCCCCTTCCTCCTCCTCCTCCTCCTCCTGGGGACTACCACTCCCGGCGTCCTTTGCGCGCGGCCTTCCCAGCCAATCAGCGGCGAACAGGTCGCGAAAGCGGGGAAAGAGGAGGAGGAGGAGGCAAGATGGCGGCGAAAGGCAGTGGCTGTGCGGGAGGCGGCGGCGGAGGGGCCAATAAGAACGGGATTCTGGACAAGGTAGGCCTCGAGGGAAGCTAGGAAGGCTCATAAGGGAAGGGCCAGACTCCCTGGGGAGGGATTGGACCCTCCTAGGACCCCCAGAGGCCACCCAGGCCAACCCCCTTTGGGCCAGGCAGGAGGGCACCAGCCAAACACCCCCCACAGGATTGGCTTTCAGGCTTCTGGAGGAATTTCACCACATTAACACTTCATTTCATTACAAAATACAACCTCTATTTTCCTTCTTCTAGGAAGGGTTGCTTCCCATCTTCTCTTCTCAAGGTTCCTTCAATAATTTTTCCCTCCATATGGTTTCAAAATTGTTATTTTCCCTTACTAATAATAATAGTCATAGTAATATAGTAATAATATAATAAAACCTTATACATTAAGGCACAACCTGGGGATCACAACCAGATACAGTGAAGACATCTGCCCTTGCGCTGTGCTACTCTGCTGCTGAGTATGCATGCCCAGTGTGGAACACATCTCACCACACTACAACAGTGGATGTGGCTCTTAATGAGACATGCCGCATTATCACGGGGTGTCTGCGCCCTACACCACTGGAGAAATTACAATGCTTAGCCGGTATTGCACCACCTGACATCTGCCGGGAAGTAGCAGCCAATAGTGAAAGGACCAAGGCAGACATCTCCAGCTCATCCCCTGTTTGGGTATCAGCCAGCACGTCAATGACTTAAATCAAGAAATAGTTTTCTAAGATCTACAGAGACACTCGCTGGAACACCTCAGCAAGCGAGAGTCCAAAAGTGGCAGGCTCAAACCCAGCACCTCAACCAATGGCTGATACCAAATGAGAGACTCCCTCCTGGGCACACAGAAGACTGGGCGACTTGGAAGGCATTGAACAGACTGCGCTCTGGCACCACGAGATGCAGAGCCAACCTTCAGAAATGGGGCTACAAAGTAGAATCCTCGACATGCGAGTGTGGAGAAGAGCAAACCACTGACCACCTGCTGCAATGCAACCTGAGCCCTGCCACATGCACAATGGAGGACCTTCTTGCAGCAACACCGGAAGCACTCCAAGTGGCCAGATACTGGTCAAAGGACATTTAACCAGCTACCAAACTCACAAGTTGTGTATTTTTCTGTTTGTTTGCTTTGTTCTGTTAGACTGGTTGTTCTGACACGACAAATAAATAAATAACCTTATACATTTCATTTCATTACAAAATACAACCTCTATTTTCCTTCTTCTAGTGAAGGTTGCTTCCCATCTTCTTTTCTCAAGGTTTCTTCAATAATTTTTCCCTCCATATGGTTTCAAAATTGTTATTTTCCCTTACTAATAATAATAATCATAGTAATATAGTAATAATATAATAAAACCTTATACATTTCATTTCATTACAAAATACAACCTCTATTTTCTTTCTTCGAGGAAGGGTTGCTTCCCATCTTCTTTTCTCAAGGTTTCTTCAATAATTTTCCCCCCCATATGGTTTCAAAATTGTTATTTTTCCTTAGTAATAATAATAATAGTCATAGTAATATAGTAATAATATAATAAAACTTTATACATTTCATTTCATTACAAAATACAATCTCTATTTTCCTTCTTCTAGGAAGGGTTGCTTCCCATCTGCTTTTCTCAATGTTTCTTCAATATATTTCCTCCCGCATATGGTTTCAGAATTGTTATTTTCTCTTACTAATAATAATAATCATAGTAATATAGTAATAATATAATAAAACTTTATTTGTACCCCTCCCAATCTCCCAACAAGAAACTCAGAGAAGCATAATAATAATAATAATAATAATAATAATAATAATAATAATAATAATAATAAATAATATCAAATAGTAATAATATAATAAAACCTTATACATTTCATTTCATTACAAAATACAACCTCTATTTTCCTTCTTCTGGGGAGGGTTGCTTCCCATCTTCTTTTCTCAAGGTTTCTTCAATAATTTTTCCCTCCATATGGTTTCAAAATTGTTATTTTCCCTTACTAATAATAATAATCATAGTAATATAGTAATAATATAATAAAACCTTATACATTTCATTTCATTACAAAATACAACCTCTATTTTCTTTCTTCGAGGAAGGGTTGCTTCCCATCTTCTTTTCTCAAGGTTTCTTCAATAATTTTCCCCCCCATATGGTTTCAAAATTGTTATTTTTCCTTAGTAATAATAATAATAGTCATAGTAATATAGTAATAATATAATAAAACTTTATACATTTCATTTCATTACAAAATACAATCTCTATTTTCCGTCTTCTAGGAAGGGTTGCTTCCCATCTGCTTTTCTCAATGTTTCTTCAATATATTTCCTCCCGCATATGGTTTCAAAATTGTTATTTTCTCTTACTAATAATAATAATCATAGTAATATAGTAATAATATAATAAAACTTTATTTGTACCCCTCCCAATCTCCCAACAAGAAACTCAGAGAAGCATAATAATAATAATAATAATAATAATAATAATAATAATAATAATAATTACAATCATAGTAATATAGTAATAATATAATAAAACCTTATACATTTCATTTCATTACAAAATACAACCTCTATTTTCTTTCTTCTAGGAAGGGTTGCTTCCCATCTTCTTTTCTCAATGTTTCTTCAATAATTTTCCCCTCCATATAGCTTCAAAATTGTTATTTTTCCTTACTAATAATAATAATCATAGTAATATAGTAATAATATAATAAAACCTTATACATTTCATTTCATTACAAAATACAACCTCTATTTTCCTTCTTCTAGTGAAGGTTGCTTCCCATCTGCTTTTCTCAATATTTCTTCAATATATTTCCTCCCGCATATGGTTTCAAAATTGTTATTTTCTCTTACTAGTAATAATAATCATAGTAATATAGTAATAATATAATAAAACTTTATTTGTACCCCTCCCAATCTCCCAACAAGGAACTCAGAGCAGCAAAGTAATAATAATAATAATAATAATAATAATAATAATAATAAATAAGGAGGCAGAGGGGTTGCTTCCCATCTTCTTTTCTACTCAGAGAAGCATTATTATTATTATTATTATTACCACCTCATGCGCCTCATAGGAAACCTGCTACAAAACAGGAGCTTTTTTGTTGAGTTCCAGGGCCAGAGATGCGGAAACAGAAGAACGGCCTACCTCAGGGGAGCATGCTTGCTCCATCCATGTTCAACATCTACACAAATGACCAGCCACTGCCAGAAGGCACAGAGAGTTTCATCTATGCTGATGATCGTGCCATTACTGCTCAAGCAGGGAGCTTTGAGATGGTAGAACAGAAGCTCTCCGAAGCTCTAGGTCAGGGGTCCACAAACTTTTTAAACAGAGGGCCAGGTCACAATCCCTCAGACTGTTGGCGGGCCGGATTATAATTCAAAAAAATCATGCACACTGCAAATATCTTATTTGTAGTGCAAAAAACATTTTAAAACAATACAATTTTAACAAATATAAACTTATAATATTTCAATGGAAAGTGTGGCCCTGCTTTTGGCTGATGAGATAGGATTGTTGTTGTTATTGTGTGCTTTCAAGTAGTTTCATACTTAGGTTGACCCAGAGCGAGGGCCGGGTAAATGACCTTGGAGGGCCGTATCCAGCCCCCGGGCCTTAGTTTGAGGACCCCTGCTCTAGGTGCTCTTACTGCCTATTACAGGGAAAACCAGCTGATCCCCAACCCATCTAAAACACAGACATGTGCCTTTCACCTTAAGAACAGACAAGCATCCCGAGCTCTGAGGATTACCTGGGAAGGAATCCCACTGGAGCATTGCAGCACACCCAAATACCTGGGAGTCACTCTGGACCGTTCTCTGACCTACAAGAAGCACTGCAAGAATCCCAAATGCAATTGGCTAGAAACAATATCATACGAAAGCTGACTGGCACAACCTGGGGATCACAACCAGATACAGTGAAGACATCTGCCCTTGCGCCATGCTATTCTGCTGCTGAGTATGCATGCCCAGTGTGGAACACATCTCACCACGCTAAAACAGTGGAGGTGGCTCTTAATGAGACATGCCGCATTATCACGGGGTGTCTGCGCCCTACACCACTGGAGAAATTACACTGCTTAGCCGGTATTGCACCACCTGACATCCGCCGGGAAGTAGCAGCCAATAGTGAAAGGACCAAGGCAGAGACATCTCCAGCTCATCCCCTGTTTGGGCATCAGCCAGCACATCAACGACTTAAATCAAGAAATAGTTTTCTAAGATCTACAGAGACACTCGCTGGAACACCTCAGCAAGTGAGAGTCCAAAAGTGGCAGGCTCAAACCCAGAACCTCAACCAATGGCTGATACCAAATGAGAGACTCCCCCCTGGGCACACAGAAGACTGGGCAACTTGGAAGGCGCTGAACAGACTGCGCTCTGGCACCACGAGATGCAGAGCCAATCTTAAGAAATGGGGCTACAAAGTGGAATCCACGACATGCGAGTGTGGAGAAGAGCAAACCACTGACCACCTGCTGCAATGCACCCTGAGCCCTGCTACATGCACAATGGAGGACCTCCTTGCGGCAACACCAGAAGCACTCCAAATGGCCAGCTACTGGTCAAAGGACAGTTAATCAACCACCAAGCTTGCAAATTCTGTGTTCTGTCTGTTTATTTGTTTTGTTTTTGTTAAAAATGTCTGGTTGCTGATGACACGATAAATAATAATATAATAAAACTTTATTTGTACCCCGCCCCATCTCCCAACAAGGAACTCAGAGCAGCAGCATAATAATAATAATAATAATAATAATAATAATAATAATAATAATAACAACTCCAGTCACTGACCAACACAGTCAGAATCTTCAGCACTGACATCCGTATGGAGTTCAGCCTAGACAAATGTGCCACCATGGCATTAAAGAAAGGGAAAATTACACACAGCGAGGGCAAAGAGATGCCAAACGGACAAACCATAAAGTGCTATCGGCCTGAAGCCTATAAATTTCTGGGCATACTACTGTTGAACAATATCAAGCATGGGCAAGTGTAAAATGTGGTCAGCA